ATTATGTTTTTTTTTTATATTTAAAATTTATGTTTAAATTTTTTATTCTCTTTCTCCGATCGTCAAGTGTTTGTAGTGGTGAAAAACCAAGCAAAGCTCTCCAATCCCCACCCCTCCCCCCCTCCCCAATGCCCAGATTCTTCACTCTCTCTCTCTCTCACTACTCCTTGATTTTTCAACACCTATCCAAACTTTTTAACCGCAAATCTCAACATCCAGATCCCTAACACCGCCATAACATTGGAGGAAGGACCATAATGAAGAGAGACCATCACCATCTCCATCTCCATCCCCATACCCATCCCCATCCCCATCCCCAACCCGACCCTTCATCCTCTTCTTGTCTCGCCGGAAAGTCCACCATGTGGGGATCCGGAGATGAGCCGCCGGACGATGGCGGCATGGATGAGTTGCTCGCTGTGCTTGGCTACAAGGTCAGAACTTCGGACATGGCAGATGTCGCCCAAAAGCTCGAACAGCTGGAGGAGATGATGGGTAGTGTTCAGGTCGACGGCCTCTCTCATCTCGCAACCGACACCGTTCATTACAATCCGTCAGAGTTGTCTAGTTTCCTCGAGAGTATGTTAACGGAGCTTAACCCTCCTTCTACTTCCGCTTTGGATCCCATGTTGTCTGTTCCATCCATTGACGATTCGTTCCTTGCTCCTGCTGAGTCGTCTACTATCACCTCCATCGATTTTGGGGCTCCACCGTGTAATCCGTCCCGGGTTTTCGATGAGTCCTCTTCTTCCGATTACGATCTCAAAGTAATTCCGGGTAAGGCTCTCTGTTCTCAAACGCAGGCCCATTTGGATTCCTTATCGTCCAATCAAGGTAGCAGCAATAAGCGCTTGAAACCCTCGTCAGCCGCCCCAACCTCAGAAGCATTTTCGTCCTCGTCGATGCCATCTTTTGGGATTCCCGCCACTGCTGAATCAACTCGCCCGGTTGTCCTGGTGGATTCGCAAGAGAACGGGATTCGTCTCGTGCACGCGTTGATGGCCTGCGCCGAAGCCGTTCAGCGTAACAACCTCAATCTAGCGGAGGCGCTAGTGAAGCAGATCGGTTTCCTGGCTATTTCTCAAGCTGGGGCTATGAGGAAGGTGGCCACTTACTTCGCGGAGGCTCTCGCTCGCCGGATTTACAGGCTGTACCCGCAAAACCCACTTGACCATTCTCTCTCCGATATTCTTCAGATGCACTTCTACGAGACCTGCCCTTACCTCAAGTTCGCTCACTTCACTGCTAACCAAGCGATTCTCGAGGCTTTTGAGGGCAAGAAGCGTGTGCACGTGATTGATTTCTCGATGAATCAGGGCATGCAGTGGCCGGCTTTGATGCAAGCTCTCGCCCTTCGACCCGGTGGTCCACCCGCTTTCCGCCTCACTGGCATCGGGCCACCCACCCAAGATAACTCTGACCATCTTCAGGAAGTCGGCTGGAAGTTGGCTCAGTTGGCGGAGACGATTCACGTTCAGTTTGAGTACAGAGGATTTGTGGCAAATAGCTTGGCGGATTTGGATGCATCGATGCTTGAACTAAGGCCGGGTGAGGAGTCGGTGGCCGTCAACTCAGTGTTCGAGTTGCACAAACTCTTGGCTCGACCTGGGGCGATTGAGAAGGTTTTATCGGTGGTGAAGCAAATGAAACCGGAGATTGTTACCATCGTCGAGCAAGAGGCGAGCCACAACGGGCCGGTTTTCTTGGACCGGTTCACCGAGTCTTTGCACTACTACTCGACTCTGTTCGACTCGTTGGAAGGATCGGTGAGCAAACCAAGACAAGGTGATGTCGGAGGTGTACTTGGGGAAGCAGATTTGCAACGTGGTGGCATGCGAAGGCGTTGACAGAACCGAGCGGCACGAGACACTAGCTCAGTGGCGGAGCCGCCTGGGATCGGCCGGGTTCGCGCCCGTGCACCTAGGGTCAAACGCGTTCAAGCAAGCAAGCATGTTGTTGGCTCTGTTCGCGGGAGGCGATGGATACAGAGTGGAAGAGAACAATGGGTGTCTGATGCTGGGGTGGCACACGCGTCCACTGATCGCCACCTCGGCTTGGAAACTGGGGGGGAAACCCGTCGTGGGTAACTGAGTTGACTCGGGAGTGAGTTGAATTGATTCGGTTGGTGCCCTACCAAACCCTAGTGGGGGGTTGGCTGTCAATGTGCTCGTCTGAGCTGGGTGGCTGGGTGAGGCTGAGACCCACCACTCCCAAGCCTGTCTCTACCAATTTTCTTTTCTTTTTCTAATTTATTATTATTATTATTATTTTTTTAAAAAAATTTCTGATGTAGCTTTTCTTATTTAGGAATTTTTCTCGGATCTTTTGGGCTCGGTTGGAATCTTTTGTAATTTTCGGGGTGAATGAGAGAGAAATATCAATGTGCATTTTATATATATATATATATATAAATATAAAAATATATATATAAATAGTTTTTGCTGCAAATGAAATGGTTTTTTTTTTTCTTTAATGTAAATTTATGCATTGTTTTAATTAAAAAAAAAATACATCTGCAAGAAAATACGACTTCGTAGTAAATATTAATTAATTTTTTATAATAATGAAATGTTGATTTTTTTTATTAAAAGGCGGCATTGCAACACTAACCAACAAAAATTGGGAGAGAAGGCCACTAATTTCTACGCCTCAAATTTCTAGTTTACATATTTTTCCTTTTTAAGTACTTTCCATATATATATATATATATTTCTTTTAATAATTAATATAATATTAATTTTAATCGAAACTTCAATTATTATTTTAAATTAAAATTAAAATAGTGGCATAACTGAATTTCGATTTAGTTTCCACACCTCACTTGATCCCAAATCTCCACATTTACTTGAATAAAATTACTGATTTTTTTTTCTAAAAATCTCCAAATTTACTTTTAAAAGAGAAAAAAAAAAAAATACACACACTTTATGTTTGATTGAAATTTCACATTATAATCTTTCACACATTTTTGTCTTTAACTTTTTTTACATATCAGTATATGATTGTGGTTAATATATATCTAAACTGTTGGGTTTAATACCGTAATAAAAAAAAATATATATTTTGAACTATCATTGATAACTAATAAATACTAAATCAAAGAAAAAAATTATTTTATTTCATATGCATTTATTGTCTTGATTCAACAATATTGGTCTTTACTATTTTTATATATAAATTGAATTGATTATATAAAAAATTAAACGGATAAATATGAAGAAAATTTTTTTTACCACGTATGAATGACGAAGGTATATAAATATATTTGTTCATATAAAATAAGGTGGAGAAACAATTGCTTTGGGAGCTTTGAAATTATTAGTAGTTGGAAATAATGTGTTAGTTGTCAAAGAAACTAAGTATCATTTTTTTTTTTTTGCCCATAAAATTTGAGTGGATAAATTTAACTTTTAAGCGTAATTACCTAGCATTAATTTAAGTATTAGTAATTGTATTTAGTTTAATAAATGAGTCTCTTTGTTATTTTAATACATAATTGAATACAATCAGTACTTAAAAATATATTGTATTGTTATTAGCAGGTAAATTATTATTATTATTTTAACCAAAATTTAGTAAATAAATATATATATATATTTTTCCGGTTATTCAACTTTCAACATATAACAGATTAAGAGTTCTTCATTTAAATTTGAGGTCTTTAGGCTTCATTTGTCCTAAAGACTTGTTTATGAGTCAATCATCAAAAATTTTTTGAACTAGAATTGAATTGGCCTAGACGACACTTTTGATGAGACGAACATGATATAAGTGTTACTGATAATTTTTTTCTTTTTCAACTCAATTTTTAGTCAAACTTTTTAATTTTAATGTAACTTATTAGGTTAGGATTTTTTGTTAGTGAAATTCAATTCTAAATGGAAATTAAATTTTTTACATAAAAACGTTTATTGAGAGTTATAAAAAAATGTAAAAAAATATATCACCATCAAGCATCTTAAGATGAGAATAAGAATAAAATCTAAAAACGACACTAATCTAAGCTTTAAATTATACACACACACACACACACACATATATATATATATATATTAATGTAGTTGTCATTTAATTACGACGTTCCGCGCATGGAATATTGGGGAAGAAAAATTTACACCTTCCTAATTTTGATTTTCTTTAAAGAAAAATCTTTGTTCACTCACTAGAAATAGCATCCCTTTTCATTTTCATTTTTTAAGTGGAGAAAAAGATGCTACTTTCTTCGACCTTAATGCTTTGTATTTTACTCGCACGCACACACACACATATATATATATATATATACATACACACACACCAGGATTCTCTTCTTTTTCTTTTTTCTCAGCTTCGGGTGTTTTCTGAGATCTTTTTTTTTTTCTTCTTCTTCTTCTTTCTTAAAAAGGAATTAGCAATCAAAATAATTTAATTAATTAATTGTAGGAAGATTTGCATCAACTTTGCCTATAATTGGCAACTGCAGAATAATATATATAAACACAGACATCAAGTTTTAGTGAGTGGCAACATTCAAAATGGGTTGGAAGAGTAGAACCCACTGAGTTTTGGTGGATTCCAAATCAAAAATTGCATGTCTTTTGCATCAATTTGATCCCAATCGGATCAAATTCTTTTTTAAATGCTTCTAAGAGAAAAGAAATTTGCTAAAAAAAAAAAAAAAACCCAATGAAATTAAGAAATGACGAAGAATGCGTGACAGACGACAGAATGGACCCAGATCTCCTCTGCTTCATCATCTTCTTCACCATGCATAATAAAAGAAAGATCCAAACGACACAGAGAAAGATTGCTCAGGATTTGTCAACACAGAAGGCAGACATCAAATATTAAATGCACACAGACAGCAAAGAATGAGATATAAAGGAAAAGTTTAATACGCCCATCCTTTCATAATAATTTTCTCTATTAAATAAACAAAAAACCCTCTTCTTTTACAGTAATATAATTCCATATATATATACATATATAAATTATCGTAGGTTTATTCAAACCAAGTGATGGGTTTTTCTTTATACTCCCAAAATTTGAAATCTTCCGCATCAAATTGATGTTAACAACGAAGAAAACTATTTTTCGTTCAACTATTATTATTATCACTAATTATGATTAGATTTAGTTAATACAACAAGTTGGCACGGTTAAGAAATGAATAGGGATTATTACTTGACTAATTAAGTGTATTAAGCAATTATATCACATCACATTCCAAGCCCTGATCTTGGTCTTGACATTCTTAATCATCTTTTTAGAATTTATTTTTTTGGTTCAAAAGAGAAAAGGAAATGATTTTATTTAAAAATAATTTCTGGGTCCACCGTGGGTTTGCAATGTTTTTCAAGCATTAAAAGAAGGCAAAGTCAAAGTAAAATTGCAGAGAATTATTTTTATTTTCGGCAAACATTCTTTTATTGATTTATACGGTTTTTGTGAAGGGCAGTCATTGTTAAACAGGATTTGTGTCGGGACTTAATAATGAATTAATAAATACAACATGTGTAATTGTGTGTGTATATATATATATATGGGAGTGAGTCATGAATAGTGGTATTATATAGACAAAAGGATGGTTGTTGCCATAATTCTATAGCAAATTTTAATAATTTCGAAACAAAAAATGAAGGGTTAATAACCAATGACAAAGAAAATAATATACATATACATATACATATACATATATATGTGTGTGTGTGTGTGTGTTTTGTCCAATGAATAAGTCCTGATAGACTACATCTAGCTTCAATGAATTCGACATTGTCAACAGCTAGTCAGACCATGTCAATCTACATGAACATTTCACATTTCACATTTTCCTTCTCTTCTTTTAATGTTTTGGAAGTAGAGTTTAGATAGTCGGTGCATATATAATTAATATTGTATTTTAATTTTAAATATATTTTTATTATAAATTAGTTCTTAAATTTTTAAAATTATTTCAAAAATTTGATACTAATAAATTTTGAATGGAAAAAGCATATATAATTTGGAACTCAGTTTAAAAAGAAGATATAGACCCATAACAACGAATTTCTTTTCAAAAAAAAAAAAAAAAAAGACCACAAAAAATGTTCAATAGCAACTTCAATATATTAATTAAATTAACTATGAATCTACTAATGAAAATTCGTATAAGATTAATTTTTATTATATCATAGTAAAGTTTCCATAATCTATTAATAATTAAACATAAAGTTTGTAATAAATTTCGTAAAATTTCTAACTTCGTTCAAAATTATCATTTTTAACCTTAAATAAGTTTCTTGTCGAGAGAATATTGCTTTCGTATGTTTTTAACCTAAAGATTTCTCGGGTATAGTTTCGAAATCAATTATTAAGTAATTTTATTGTTAGTTCCTAAAATTAACCCATAGTTTATTATTATTATTATTATTTTTTTTTGGGGCCTCAATTCAACTTTTCTAAAACTTTTAATGGGAAAAGAAAAAGTGGGTGAAGAATATTTAGTAGAAATAGAATATGGATAGGTGGTGTTATTGGGTTACTTTGGTTGGAATAAAGAGAAGGATTCATTAGAAAGTTGGCGGATCCCAATTTAGAAAATAGGGTAAATGCTCTATTGCCTTTTGATGCCTACTCCTACTCTTACTCTCACTTTTTATGCTTACATTATAAGTGTGGTGGGGAAATCCATATTCAAAATTTTCAATTTAATCTAAGCAAATATATATCATTCAAATAAATGATTGTGATTGGAAACCCCAACAAAAAAAAAAATCAATTTAAAAATTATTTTGAAATTAATTTTTAGTATTATCAAAAGAATAAAAATTATAAAAAATATAATATAAAAAAGTTTGGTAGAGTTTCTCTTTCATAATTTATTATGTATCAATGCTAATTAAGAAAAAAAAAAAAAAGAAGAAGAGAGGATTTAGGTAGTAAACTATTTATATTGATTATCTTTTTTCGTTTGTCCTTTCACTTTTTTATATTCGATACTAAAAATATCGTCAACATATATTCTAATTTTTATTTATCTTTCAAAGATTTTTTTTTTTTAATTTTAGTTCAAGATTTCAAGTTGAGACTTAATGCAATGAACTGCAGAATATTTATTGATTGAAAAGAATAAAAAAAAAGATGCAATGAGTTACCAACATTGCTATACTTTAATATATATATGAAATATAAATAAATAAATAAATTCAAAATAAAAAATTACATTCTAACAGTTTATATATAAAAAATAGTGAATCTATTAAAATTAATAAGTTATTATAAGTATTGTTGCCCTCATTTATCATTCAACTGTATAAATTTAGACATATACGTAAAATTATAATCTAACATGTTATCATCTAATGTACTATATAAATTAAAAAAAAAAATGAATGAATAAGTAATGACGAAAAAAAACTGGGGTAACTCATATATCAGAATTGAGATTGTCAGTATCAACTAGTCCTACAGTAAAGACTGTGTGTGAATACCCATTGCAATTATGCAATAACTCATATATCAGAACTGGGGTTGCAAGAATGAATATATAATATAGATGGTATGGTGGCTTCATTACAAAAGGAGTCAGGGTTTGGAGCCATTATTAGAAACTCAGAGGGGTTGTGTCGACAATCTTCACGGGTAGATTTCCAGAGTGTTGCTCACATTTTCTTGCAGAACTGCTTGGCTATCGATGTTCTCTGCAATTTATTCTCAACAAGGTTCTGGATGCTGGGGTGATGGAGATGGATCCACTCTTAGTTTACAAAGCATTAATCTCTATTGACGAAGATCAGTCCGAGTTTTGTTTCATTGTAGATGGCTATAGGATGATGTTACAAGCAATATCATATGTATCTATTAGATGAGTGAGCAGGTAGAATAATAAAGTAGCATACTATATCAGAAGATGTACTTAATTTGCTTAATGATTAATGAAAGTGACCAATTTAAAAAAAAAAAGTAACGACGAAAAGAATAAAACTTATAAATATTAAGAAACTCACGTGAAAATCCTTACTTACAAAATAAATTGTGTGAGGAGTCTTGTAAGAAGAAGAATAAAGACCTCTAGTTTTGATCTTGTAGTCATGGCCGGAAGTAACATGCCTAGTCACGAAAGAAAAATATTAATTAATTGAATTAACACTATAAATGAATCAAAAATCTCGTTAAATATCTATAAACATGATAGTTTGAGAAGTCAGAATATTAAAGTAATCAAGTATGAAATTATTTTATTTTCATAGAGAAAATTTGAAGCTACACTTGAAAGATGGGTTCATGTTATAGATCATAAATTTGAACATACGAGGGTTCACATACTCTCAACTTCTTTAGAACGAAGTATTTTAAGTGTACACGAACTTTGTTTAGTACATATTTCACTCTAGTTGGCAAAGTTAGCAAATAGGCATAAAAAATAAATTTTAAAAATACGTATTTAATTAAGTTAAACGTTAATATTCATATTTCTCTTTTCAGTATTTATTAAAAAAATTTATATATATAAAAAAAACATAAATTAAAACATATACGAAAATAACAATATGCAGAGCACTTTATAGAAAAAACTTAGACTCTTTAAAAAAAAAAAAAAAATTGCACAAAATCACAAGAAATCCCTATTTTTGAGAAACTCTTTCTCTTTTTTTTGCATGCCATTTCCTTCGTTTCTATTAAATTCTGACTTCTATTTCCCTTTTTTTCCATTTTACAATTTATTTGTTCATTGTTCTTAAGCTGAGAATATATTTTAAGGTGTACCTTGAGCCCATCTTTCATTGGGTGTATCTGAAAATTGTTGTGTTAATTAATGGAACCCTAAAATAATGAGTCCATGTTCCTAACTACAAGTATGTGAAAAAGCAATTTTCAATGATTTTACCATTGGTTAGGTGGTCAAGTGTTCAGTATACATTTTAAGGTGAGGATATGATAATTTGATCTGAATCCAAAAGAGATGATGATGGGCTCTGCAATTGAAAAGTCCAACCCAGTATGTCTCTCCCAGTGCTCTCAATTCCACAATTTTTTAATTCCAAAACAGACATATATATTTCTGTATATTTATATGTAGTGTCTATATAGATATTTCAAAAAATAATAAGCCCTTGAAGTGATTATGTATTCATTTGAAATGTCAATGGCCCAAAATTAAATTATGTGGGTCTGGGCTTTTGTTTTAAAAAGATAAATTGTGAAGCTTCTCTATTTATGCTGAGTGAGTGAAGTTCATTCTAACTAAAGAAACAAATGTTAAATTCTTTTAATTAAAATAGTTACAACGAAATAAAAATCGAACTAGTCTTTTCTTTCTATTAAAAAAATAAATTAATTGAATAACTGAATCTGACATCAAATATGGAGGATGTGAAAAAAAAAAAAAAAAAAAAAATCAAAACAGGAGGTGTTTCAAAAATGTTTGGCCAAAATAGAGAGAAGATAAGGTGGCTATAAAACTTGTATGTATCTGGACTTGATAAACGAAACAAACAGCTGTGGAAAAGAAGCAAACAAACCGACTGAGTTGAGAAATGAAATGTCGTTTTAATGGCCCTCCCAAAAAGAGAAAAGAAGAAGAGAGATGGAGATACACGCTTCTTCCATCTCTGTAAAAAGATGATGAAGATTTAGAGATAATCCATCCTTTTCACACACCCACCACCGTACCTCTCGGTACACATTTCCGATACTCTTGCCCCCACCACCATTACACTCTTACAACTTTTTGATTTTCATAAAATTTATTTTTCTAAATCCCAAAAGATCAGGGCAAACTACGAATTCAGAACAACGCCGTTACCATGGATGGTTTGTGGGGTGGTAGAAATCTCATTATTTTCTCTGAATTTCAACTGGAATTGCATGATTTTTTTTTTTTGGCATTTATTGGATTTTGTTTCTGAAAAGCTTATGTTGCAATCACTTATAGACGCAATCTCATGACATATCCTTTAACAGAGCACGTGGCAATCATCAGAACAACACCGCTAGTGAAGTAGAGTCACTTTTATGGGCGCCCACTTTGCATACGCTGCTCATTTGGTTTGTGATCTTCACCTTGCAGAACCGGAAAAGAAGAATCCGATCAAAGCCGTGGGAGTATACTCTACTTGCGGCCTTGGACCGACCAGTTCTCCCTTTTCCAGTTCATATTCATCAACCCAGGTCCTTCCCAACTTCATCATTGAGATAATGGCTTATCATGATAATTGTTTGACCCACAAATGTACTTAATTGGGCCTCTTCAAATAACTATGAAAGACCTTGTGCTTATTCATCCAATAAATCTCTAATTCTTTGATAAAAGATATGCTGATGGTGAAGGTAGATGAGAATAAGTCAAACTAAGGGAGAGAGAGAAATAGACATAACATATGTAATATGTAGTCTCCTGTTCCATGTGTATAGATATGATGGAACCCATTAGAGAAGAAAGCTAAATTTCATTGGAAAAAGCAAGTGGATTATTTGTCTAGACAAATGGGTAATCAAAAGTACAATTAGATTACAAGAATCAAGGGCCTGGTTTTACGCAGATCACCTACCTCAACTTACTGGTAGGAACCCACAAATTCTCTCACATTGATACTTTCTCTCAAAACAAACACCCGAGTCCCCACTAAATTACTAAAATGGCTCTTCTAGACTAATACCGCAGCTCAAAAGCAATTTCATTGTCACACAAATATTATTTAATATTCAAATTCCCAGATGGGTTCCAATTTTTGTGGCTCAATTCATACTTCAAAGCATACTAGCCTTCCCACCTGCCATAATCTCCATGTCCAGAAATTTCCCGAGTTGCCACTTGCCAAATTGTGCAAGAAAAAAAAATCATCAAAATATGATCAAAGAAGAAATTTTATTGCAAGCCAAGCCAACCGGCTCGGTGGAATTTGAAGTTTATTCATAAAGAACAACAGAGGTTCTTTCTCTTCTAATCATAATAAAGTAAAGTCTTAAGTGACATTACCAATAGTAGTCTTTAACATGACTAATCAAAGAAGGGTAACAAAAGAAACAAATTCAACAATGGCATGATGATTCCAATAGAACAAAACAATGTTCCATTTAGTGGGAAGAGATCTTAAGATTCAGGGACTTGTTAATCCATGACTTCCAGCTACCTGCTCCCTTTCGGGAAGTAATGGCCGCACTCGATCTACCATCGTCTTCCAGTTTCTGTGTCTGTGGCTTCTTGCAGAGCATGAAATTACGAGCTCCGTGAGATCCGATTGCGTCCCAGGGGCTAAGTGCTGCAAATCGGATACCAAAACGAAGTTGAAATAAATCCAACATAAATTCACTTGTAAAATCTAAATTAACAGTTCTGATCAGATTTGGATTATCATTAGAATGAAGTTAAAACCCAACGGGAAATCCTAAGCACGCAAAACGAAGATAAAGGCTGAATTGTGTGAAGAATTTAACCTAAACCCGAGATGGATTTGGATTTGCAGCTACCAACAAATCACAAGCTGACAAAGGCCGAGCAAATAAATTAGACAGACAATCGAGAGGGGTCTGGCATTATCTAACCTTCAGATCCGGCATTGGGGCAGTAAAGCAGGAAATCATTGAGATCAGAGCCGAGAATCGGAAGCCTCCCCTCGCGTGCGTAGGACTTCAAGGCGGTGTCAATAACAGCTGCAACAAGCTCCTCCTCGCTAACCACGAAGCGGATCGGTCCTGCACTTCCCAGCACATTGATGCTGATGAGGAGCCTATTGCCCTTGGCGTTTTGGTTCTTCTTCTGCTTGTTGTACAGCAACATCTCCACAGTATTCAAAACCCAAATTCCCAAAACCGACAAATCTTAATCCCTCTTCCCGACAACGAAGAAGATATCAAGAATAACAACAAAGAAACGACTCGCAAAAGAAAGCCAAGAATTGTACAGAGGAGGAATCTTGAATGAAAGAATGACGAGAACAAAAAATCAGGAGCGGGTCGGTTCAGTTTACGGGTCGACGCCGAGGCAGCGGTAGTACCAGCCTTCCTTGCAGGATCCGAAAGCGAAAGCAGAAGCTGCAGATAGAGGAAGAAGAGCGCTCACCCTTGTTTTACAAAGGGAGAGCATGAAATTACTACTACTCAAGGTTGTTTCCACCATTCACAACAGCAACAAGGATATATCGAAATCTGGAGGCCAGAAAAGAAGAGAAAAAAAGACTCAATTTTCTCTCGGATCTTCGTTTTCTCGGAATCTAGAGAGAGATTTCTCGGTAAAAAAAAAAAAAAAGAAACAGAGGGGATTAGGTAGGGGGGGGGGGGGGGGGGAGAGAGCTTTGAAAGCCTGGGTCTTGTGATTTGTGAGAGGAGAAAGATGAAGTATTTAAACGAATGGAGGACGGAGAGAGAGAAGTAACCGAGGCTGTTAGAATTAGGGTTTATTTCCGTGTTGCGGTTAAAATGGAGGAAATTGTGCGGCGAGTGACTCTCTCTCAACCCTACACTAACACGGCTCTGTGTTTCCCCACCGAAGGGAACGTGTTTCGTAAGTATCATCCCGTTTAATTTTAGAGATTTATTTGTTATAATTTGATTTAATAATTTTAATTACTAATTTTAAAAAACCGAGTATCTAGTCAATTAAAGACGACACGTGGGGAAGTTGTCTGCTTCTTTCGTAAGTTTATTCAAATTAAATATTTGCCAATTTACTTTCCTATTTGATTTTCATACTCTCTAACTTTTCTGGTCAAGTGCTCGCGTTACTTTAACCGAGTAACAAATTTGTATATTTATTTGTTTGTAAATTTATATCTTTCTTTATAAATATATATGTATAGTTTTTATATTAACTTATATTAATTGTTTAATGATTTTTTTTTTCCCTATATATTTTTGAACTTATTTTACGCTACTAGTTTTTATGGGAAGACTATATATTGTTTTTCTTTTAACCGAGAGAAAATTGTAGTTATATTTATTATAAAATATAAATGATATCATTATATGCATTATTAGAATTAGGGGTAATCATTTAATTCAAATTAGATACATATAAAAATGGTGATCACATGAGAACGAACGAATAATAGAATTATTTAATAATAAAAAATTATTTTATTTTGTAGAGAAATCATATTTTTTTAATGATCATATCATTATAAACTGGAACGATTTTATTCTTAATTTTTAAGTTTAATGATAAGATTTGAACATTAAAATAATTTATATTTGAATGAAATATATAATTTTTTATTATTTTATTATATTTTTGAATCATATTTTTATTACGTCGATAGTGTTTAAAATTAAGTACGTAAATAAATGTAATTCTTACAATTTAAATTTACGTCTCATAAATAAATTCGTTACTTTCAAATGCTCTCTTCCTTGCTTGGGGTGGTTTATGTGTGATGTAATATTTTGATGGGTTTTTATTTTGTTGCCGTCCATGCAGATTTTGGCATCCTTCACCAAATAACACCAAGAATTTATTCTTAATAAAATACAAATATTTTGATGTAATTAACGAGATATGCCTTGGAGATATAATAATAATAACTAACGGTGCTAATTTTATATTAATGTAATTAAATATATTTGGGCAGGTTTTTAGGCTTTTGACTTTTTACGCCTGGATCCCTCTGCCTTTTGACAATTTTGTCCTTTTCCTATTCATAGTACACCCGAGTCGTACAATTTGCATTTGTTTTTTTTTTTTTTAAATACCCACTATTTTGTCGCGTTGTTTTTTTTGGTTAAAATATTGCAGGAACGAATTGACTTCTTGTTGCAAATTGAAGAAAAAAATTAATTATTATTATTTTTTTGGCTGCTAATGAGAATATTTAACGTATATTAGATGGTAATTTGGAATGGGTTTTGATTATTAATATATTTAGGTGCTGATGAGAAGGAATATATAATAAGCTGTAAAAAAATTTGAATGGCGTGGAAAATATGATGTTCCATGCAGGGGAAAGAATAAGAATATATACATACATATATATATATATTTATGTATGTATGTCTGAATAAGTTTTAATTTGCATTTTCAATGGTCTGAAATTGACGACTCATCTCCCCCCCTCCTTCCATTATTTTAATTTATCTCTTCTTTAAGTTATGCTTTTCATAAATCTGTCTTTCCACGACCCACGTTTCTTTTTTCTTATTAGTTGACTGTTATATGATGAGGGAGGGAGGGATATACCTCAAAATATACCTCAGCATCTAGCCATGGGCTTTGAAAATTGGGACAAGTTGGTTACTTACTTACCCTACTTCTAAACATATTTTAACCAACTCATCTTATGTCTCCTCATGACCTCAAGGGTGGAGGGTTTCCTAACCCATTAGTGGCTATTAAAGGAAATATCGGTTGATGTAATCTGATACCAGGTGTATGTATACGTAGTTTAAGCAGATGGGAAGAGTTTCTGACGAGAGGCTCCTGGACGTCTTTGCTTTCTGAAATAAAATATCCTTCTCACACCCCTTTGTGTGGTTCGTTGATTAGACACGTTCGCATCACATGCATTCCTATGATCTGCTATGCAGCAGAAGTAATGGCGAATACCCTTTTTAATTAATGCCTCGCCCAGTTATCAGACTGTATGTATATATATATATATATATATTTATATATATACACTATAAAACCCTTTCTTAATTAGAATATTCCATTTGGTTAAATCGTGATTCTTCTCAAATCCCATGTGAAGCTGATTTTTTTTGACTTCGGACGAGTATGTCAGTCATCAAATCCAAGATTTGATCTCTCCGGCTCGCTCGCAGACAAAAATAGCCGAGTACGAACAAATAGATGATTTTAGTTTCGTAAAAAATACAAAAGGTAAATTATAAACAAGTTTCTGAATTTGGATATTATTATAATTAAATATAATGAAATTAAACTGAGGTCTTAAAACAATTTATGAGAGTGTGTTTTTATTTTTCTTAGTTCGATGACTCTTGGCTAAATTCCTTGAATGAAACTATTATTTACAACTTGACGTATACAATTAAATGATATATTAGGAATAGGACAGAAGGTTTGTTGATAAGCCCAACAGAGGCTAAAATAAGAAAGAGTGCAGCGGAAACACCGGTCAGCCACACAGAGCTTAAAATGGTTATGATGGTGATTGTTTTTTTCTGTGGTACTCGCATTTTTGTCTTCTAATTCTCCTCTGCAAATTTAACATTCGCATTAATCTAATATATTATTACCCCATTAATTACGTCTGCAACCACGACTTCTTCCAGAATTAACATTTTCTTCTTCTTCTTCTTCTTCTACTCGTAAATACATCAAAATTTCCCAGTTGAAATTGATAATTTCTTCTTTGTATTATTTCGGGTTTTTCCTGTGATTTCTGGGTATGGATAGCACGTTGGGGCTTCTCAGAATTCGGCTTCAAAGAGGATATAATCTTGCCGTTCGCGACACCTGCTCCAGTGATCCTTATGTCGTCATAACCATGGGCGAACAGGTCGTCTTCTTCTTTTCTTTCCCTAATTTGGTTTCAGTTTTCCCACCGGTTTTCTTTTTGGGTTTGACGTCAAACTCTAAATTGTCTCATTAACAAGGGTTTAACAAGCACACAAGACCTGCAAATGAATCTCCCCATTTCTACTGTTTACAAAAATCCCATTAACAAGGAAAATCCATGATTGATTGATCACTTTTGGTTGTCTTCACATGATTTGTTATATACCAAACCCAATATTTTCTCCTTGCCTTGTTCTGATATGTTCTTCACCCAGTTTTTCCATTATGATTCAATCAATTATTTTCTCCTGATGCTCAAACTTCACATTAATTCTTTGTTTGCTTTCTGTTTTACACCGTGGACTAAACCTTATTTTTAAGTGTTACAGAAATTGAAGAGTCGCGTCGTGAAAAAGAACTGCAATCCTGAATGGAATGATGAATTCACCCTCTCCATTACAGATCCTAATATTCCCATCCATTTGGTAATACATATATACACACATATATGCATCTCATCCCTTTTTATATATCCATTATTCTCTTCGCTAAAACTAATATCAATTACTACCGTGGAAATTCTTATGTGCAGACAGTTTATGACAAGGATACATTCACTGTGGATGACAAAATGGGGGATGCAGATATAGACATTAAACCCTACTTAGCAGCCATACAGATGGGTTTGTCAAATCTACCAAATGGGTGTGCAATCAAGAGAATTCAACCCGGCAAGAACAACTGCCTGGCCGACGAGAGCAGCGTCGTCTGGAACAACGGCAAGATCACCCAAGACATGCGCTTAAAACTGCGAAACGTTGAGTGCGGCGAAGTTGGAATCCAACTCGAATGGATTGAAGTTCCTGGTTGCAAGGGTTTGGGAAGTGAAGGTACCATTATCGTATAAAATTACTCTGCTTAATTGGTCATATTAATTAATTAATCAATTTGCAGATGTAATAGATACTGCTTCAACTTATTATAGATGCTTGTTATGAAGAACATAAACTGTAATGTGTGTGTTCTTACTATATACAATATGGTCTGTACGTATGTACCAATATTTCTTCGGCTGGACTTGGTATATTTGCAGTTTCTGTCGTAAGATAAATAAATGATTGGTTTTTTCTTAATTACTTTTTATATTTTTAAACATTTGTTATTTTTTTTTAGCTTAATAATTGTTATTATAAGTTTGTGGGTTGGAGTTGGATTAATATGTTGATTTTTGTTAATTTTTTTAATTAGGAAGTTAATTGTATTATTATTGATGAATAAATATTATTTAATTTTTTAAAATATAATTATTTTTAAAAAAATTATAAGGAAAAACATGATTAATTCCCAATATTAATATAAATCTCTACTATTAATTACATTGAAGAAAGCAAAAATATTTGATGCACCACAATTGAATTTTTTAAAATTTGGGAAGAAAAATAAAAAGGTAAAAGATGAGGTTGAAAATAATTTATTTATTATTGAAAATAATATTTTTGGGTGGCAGGTAATGGGAATCATCATAAGAGCGGTTTGATGGAATCGGATATTGAAGGGGGAAATCTTTGTTTCCCTCGTCCACATCGCAAGCCATTTCACCATGGTAAAAGCCGGTTGACCTTCTAAAAACCCTTGAAGATGGAGAACCAGTTCCATCTCATCTCCACAACCCCATTTCTCAACTCTTTTGTATTAAAGCTTTTTTAGGATCCTTGAAACATATATACATATATATGTGTATGTATACAACCCTGTAAAATGTCAGCTATACCCAGTTACTATTCGCTAGTTTTCGCACTAACTATACATACTGATTATCAGTCTTCTTTATTATTGACATTGTATGATTTAACGTATTCAAATAGATTGTAACCTACTCATTTTCATTTCCAACCGTGGGATGTAAAACTTTTATATATATATATATATATATATATGCATATACATATTATGATTCCCTGCAGTTCTTAGAAATTGTTCTGAAGCTGGTTGAACTCAAAATTATACCGTTATCATGTCTACTCACTCTTAATGTTTCAGTTTGCACTTTGCATGCAACAGACATGCATATACATATATATATGTATATATAAATATGTGGTACATACTTAGAATATACCAAGATTGATATTTTTCACATGGGAACTGGAGAAGTATCAAATATCAATTGCACATCAAAGAAAGCAACATAAACAGAGGGAACTCCACGGATATGTAAAACAAGGAAAAAATCAAACTTGTTTTGGAAGTTTATTCATAGATATTTTTTCCATTTGAATGTAAGGTTACAGTTTTATTTTAGTTCCAACTCTTATCTTCCCCAACTTGGCTTTTGCCTGGTTCTAAAAATCTTTAGCTCAACTCAAAATTAAACACGACTCCCATGGCGTCCAATTCAACACCATCAATGTCTCTGCAAACCAGTGCCCATAAAGCGAGCTTCTTATCATCGTCCGCATCAACAAAACCAAACAAAAACAACATTAAATTCTCAATCCCGTTTCGTTCAACTAAAGTTCCAATACATGTTAAGTGTTCGAGTACCAGCACCGCCAAATACAATGAAGTGGTTATTGACGAAGAAATGGATAAGATTAGAAGGCTGCAAAACGGGTCGGATGTTCGCGGTGTTGCACTGGAAGGAGAAAAGGGTCGGACGGTGGACCTTACACCGCCGGCGGTGGAGGCCATTGCAGAGAGTTTCGGAGAATGGGTTATCGGCGAATTGAAGGAGGAGAAAGGACAGCCTGTTGAAGATGTTAGAGTGTCGCTCGGTAAAGATCCCCGAGTGTCGGGTCAAGCTCTGAGCGTAGCTGTGTTTTCGGGTCTGTCTCGTGTTGGATGCTTGGCGTTTGACATGGGACTTGCTACAACTCCTGCTTGTTTTATGAGCACATTGCTGCCTCCATTTTCATACGATGCTTCAATAATGGTAATTGAAATTAAAACATCATAAACAAATGATTCACTTTAGCTTTTCGGGTTTCTTATGAAATGAAAATGATGCAAGAAAATATGAATTTTTAATTGCAGATGACGGCATCCCACTTACCCTACACCAGAAACGGGCTAAAATTTTTCACGAAGAAAGGAGGACTAACATCGCCAGAGGTAGAAGAAATATGCAGCAGAGCCGCCATTAAATATGCCAATAGGTTGACTGAAGTGTCTACCATTCTCAACACTCCGCCAGCCAGAGTTGACTTTATGAGTACTTACGCTAAACACCTCCGTGATATCATCAAGCAAAGAGTCAACCATCCTCTGCATTACGACACCCCGCTTAAAGGCTTTCAGGTCTTCTCTCTCTCTTTCTCTCTTCAAAATTTTCAGTTCATACGATAAAATCTGGAATTGGATTTGAGTTGCAGATAATTGTAAATGCTGGAAATGGATCAGGAGGGTTCTTCACATGGGACGTTCTCGACAAGCTCGGTGCAGGCACATTTGGGTCTCTTCACTTAAACCCAGATGGGATGTTCCCTAATCATATTCCAAATCCAGAAGACAAAACCGCCATGGCACTCACCAGAGCTGCTGTACTCGAAAACTCTGCTGACCTCGGCATTGTTTTTGACACAGACGTTGACCGCAGTGGTGTTGTCGATAATAAAGGGAACCCCATTAATGGCGACAAACTCATAGCTCTCATGTCCGCCATTGTGTTGAGAGAGCACCCTGGAACTACCATTGTCACCGATGCTCGCACAAGCATGGCACTCACCAAATTCATCACCGACAGAGGAGGTCACCATTGTCTGTATCGGGTCGGTTACAGAAACGTGATTGATAAGGGAGTTCAGCTTAACAAAGATGGCGTCGAAACACATCTCATGATGGAAACTTCCGGACATGGTGCTCTCAAAGAAAATTATTTCTTAGACGATGGTAATTTTCACGGTCAACTTTCTGCATGGTGCTCTGTTTATTCAATCTGAAAAAGAAGGAAGAAAAATGAATTTGTATTAAACAAAACAGGGGCTTACATGGTGGTGAAGATTATAATCGAAATGGTGAGGATGAAGCTTGGAGGATCAGAGGAAGGGATTGGTAGTCTGATAAAAGATCTTGAAGAGCCTTTAGAATCCGTAGAACTGAGAATGAACATAATTTCAGAGGCTAGACATGCAAAGACAAAAGGAAGTGAAGCTATTGAAACATTTAGGCAATACATCGAGGTAAGTTAATATAGAAGATTAATTCATGATTTCTGAGTTAATTATAATTAACAATCTGATTGATCAATCATCTCAGGATGGAAAGCTTAAAGGGTGGGAACTAGACTCGTGTGGAGACTGCTGGGTGAGTGAAGGTTGCCTGGTTGACTCGAATGACACGCCAGCTGCCATCGATGCACACATGTACAGGTACTGTTGATTATTAGGAACATTAATCTGTGGTTTTTTAGGTGTATTTGTTTTATTATTCATTAATTAATTATTATCATTATGTTGATGATTCAGGGCTAAAGTTTCAGATGAAGAACATGGGCAGTTTGGATGGGTTCATATACGACAGAGCATTCACAATCCGAATATTGCAGTCAACGTACAGTCAACAATTCATGGAGGCTGTCTGTCAATCATAAGAGTTCTACGACAGAAGTAAGTCTCTACGCCTGGTTTTACTGTTTTTAGCATAAATTATTAAATTATTCTTTAAAATTTAAGTAGATTAAATTTGAATTTTTTAAAAAAATTTAAAATAATCCGTTAATTTTTTTTTTTTATAGAACATTTGAAACAAATTCAGTGTCAATTTTAAGAATTATTAAGAACCAAACTATAAAAAAGTGCAATTTTATAAACTAATTTAACAATTTAACCTTATTTTTATTACTATAATTTTGGTTTTTGAATATTTAACAGGTTTCTCGTGGAAAGAGGGATGGACAAAATCCTCGACATCTCTCATATAGACAAGTATGTTGATGAACATTGAGAGGGGTTATGTGAGACTTTAAATACATATAATTATATCAAATGTATAGTGAAATTCATGCTATTGGAAAATGAGAACTGTGAATTCAGAATATATGGAATCTTTTAAGCACAAATAAAACTAATGATATAGTGTTAGAAAATGCCAAAATATTCTTTTTTAACTAGTTTTGTATAATATTATGTGTAATTCATTAGAATTAAAATTTTTAGCATTTTAAAAATTTGTTAAAAAATTTGAAAAACCAAATAAAAATAAATTAATGCCTTAAATTTTTTAAAAATATGAAAATTATACCCCCCCTGTTGTCAACAATTTTAAATGTGAAATAAAGAGTTCTTTTGGGGTTAAATGGTAAAAGAATGGCTCTCTCTTTTGTATGTAATCAAGTTATACTCAATCGACCGTTGGTTATCAAATAATCTATTTTATTAAATAAATTTATTTAATTAAAATAAAAAATTAACAAGTAATTCAGTATCCAAAATTTATTTATATGAATACATTTTGGAAAAAAATATTAATGAAAAAAATTAACAAATACTCAAAGTTTATATAACCCGATATAAAATCTAAGAGAAAATTATCAACATAAGGTTAGACCAAATCATTTAATTTTTTATTATTTGAAGGAGTAAAAGAAAAATTACGTTCAACCGAAAATTACGTCTCCGAAAACAAGAATTTTCTTAGAGACGAGGTCATATATTCTATAAAATTTAATATAATTTCGAATACTGAAGGAATGTTGAATAAGATTTTGAAAGGTGTCTCATTATTGATGACATGAAAAGATATGCAGCCAATTAAGTAAACAACATGAAGCAAACAAAAAATAAAAATAAAAATTCGGCCATGCGAATGTTTAATCGCTTTTTCACATTACTAACTTTCTCTTAACTAAATGTTTGATACTTCCACCTCTCTGAACGAGGGTGTAGATTCGAATTAGGTTATGTATCTCGTATATTATTGTTAGAAAGTTGTTGTATTATTGATCTGCACGTGTTACTTAATTATTTAAAGTGTATGAATTTTTATTTAAAATATTTATTTTTTTCTGCGTGATAGGAAATACAGGTTTTTGTATATGTGGTTTGTTGGAAGAAAATTATACATAGAAAGCAATGTGAATTGTGGGGTGCACAATGATGATCTTTTAAATCCAAAAACAAGGAAGTGACTATTCTTCAACTATTTTCTATAGGAAATACAGTTTTGAGACTGCTAAAATTTTCATTCTAAATTTGCTTATTGATTCAGAATTGCAAGTTCTTCTTATAGTAACAATGAATTAATGCATTTTTTTGGATAAAATGTTGGTTGATGAAATCATATTTGATGTTCTACTGGATGACACTTGCAGTTTGAGTGGGTGTGGCGGCATCCAGCAGAATCAATGGCGGTAAAGCAGGAAGCTGCAAGTTTTAAATCCTTTTCTGGAGTTGCTAATAAAGATTAAACTTGCATATACAATGCCCTGCGTTCCAGCCTGGAATAGTATACATCTCGAGTTTTGGCCTAGTTGTGGTTTGATCCAAACCAGTAATTGATCTTTTTTGTTTCTGTGTTATCAGCTTGAACATCACTGTGAACTATTTCTCGACAAAATACGCACATAACGGTGCTGTTCGTCCATGCTTGCCAAAACACATGGAGGCCCAAGTTTGCTCCATGGATGAACTTCCCTGCTATACCAAAGGAGATGTGAGAATACGTTTGAGGGTGAGAATGAGTTGGATAATGGAGGAGAACATGATGAAGATAGCAACTCTGAAAAAGCTGCAAATGAAACATATGCAGACGGTAACACTGGCGAAGCTGCTCTGGAGACATTTGCAGATGTGACAGTAGTTCAACAGATCATTCCCAGAGCATTTCATATCAGCATTTCGGATGGTCCGAAGAACATAAAGATTTCATAATAGGGCCGGATAATACACGTTCGTTTAATCATTATCAATTTCTGATGTCTAATTCTCCAATCTCCACGTTCCACTACACTAATCCACAGGAATTAGGTAGGTCAGATTGCAAAAGTAATCCACTTTGAATTTTCTCATTCACATTTTTTTAGAAATTTTCTTTTAGAAAAAAAAGAAGAATTATGCCAACTGAAATTGACAAAGCTTCGAATGCATCCGTCACTTTCTTCCATTTAGATTAGCTTCTTCAATTTCCAATCTAAAACCCACCATTGTTTTTTCTCTCTGTTTCTCTCTCTGCAAGCACCCTAGATAAATCACACAGAGAACCAAAGCGACTGGCCACAAATGTGTCCATTGAGGCTAATTCTGATTTTCCTCTGGGCTCTTCTTGCCGGACTCTTCGTCCTCAGGGACCTCAATCCTGAGCGCCAACAGCTTACAGATGAATCCGACGTTGCCGACGAAGATTCTTCCGCTTACCCACTCGCTTCTACAAGCTTTTATTTCTCTCTGCATTTTCTTGTGTTTCGTATCTCCTCCCTTTTGAGGGAGTTTAAATTTTCTTGAAAGTTAGTTTAGGATTTTCTTATTGAGTAATAAGTGATGTAATTGATATGGGTTTAGGTTGGCTTGGCTTTGAAGTCTGGAATCTAGACGTTTTTGTTGATATGGCAAGTGATCGGTATCTATGGAGGCATCTGGTTTCTTCTCCGAAGTCCTCTTGATCTTTTTCCTCATTCCCATCCTAATCCTTTTCTTGTTAGCCTCAAGATAAATAATCACACTTTTACCTTTAGAGGAGGTGGGTAATTGCTGTTTTTTGTCAGTATATACTCTGTAATTTCAGATTGATCAGCAAACACTCACGTTGTTGTCGTTGTTGCTGGTGAAAATACATGAACCATAATATCACTGTGTAGATTCAGGATTTTGGTGGAAATGCAATAATGTTATGATTCTCAATTTGGAGACATTTTTTTTTTTCTTTAATCTTTTCTGGGTTGGATAAATTTGTGAATTTCAGTATCGGGGGTTTGCTTCCTTGTCTGCAACAAACGCTTTGCTAATTGGAAACTGGGAATTTGTGAAGAGTCAAAGTGATTCTACATTTAAGTGTTTGTTTCTTGAGAAAGTTTTGATCCAGAAAGTGATTTGTGGCTTTTTATCTCTCTATTTAGATTTCAACATGAATTTCCATCCGCATTTACAAGTTTGATTTGGTTTCGAAGTTTACCCCAAAAATTTTACGATAAAATTAAAAGAAGAAAGAAAAATTTAACCTAAAAAAATATACAGAATTTTCAAATTTGAAGTTCGGTTTACTCGAATTTTAAATCGAAAATTTAAAAGAAAATATAAGATATAATTTTTTAAAATTAAAATTAAATATAATATATTGATAACAGAATATATTATATTAATATATAATTATTAATTGTTATAAGATCAAGAACTTAAAATCTGTGAAGATAAAAATAAAACGAACAAAATTGATGCCTGAAAATGTAATTAATCCACTTTTGAAATCTTGGAATCTTATTTTCATTTACTCTAACTGGCACGGAGAGCGACGTACCGACGGTCGAATTAGAGCGACAAACAAGAAACAATAAAGAAAAAAGAAAGAACACAGCAGATTCAGGCAAGAAGGAAGGAGCAGATGTAATTAAAATCCTAGAAAGATGAGAAAGAGAAAGGATCGAGCAGAAGAAATTCCTAAAACCCTAAATTTCAAAGAAAATGGAGGGAAGGAAGAAGAAGAACAAAAGGGAAAGGGGTTCTTCGCTTGCAACTTGTTAACATCTATCAACCCACGTCGTAAGGGCCAAAACCTAAATCGGGTTGACATCTTCCCTGATCTTCCTTTAAATTTAATTCGTTTGCTTTCATTTTCTTTCAAAAGATTGGATATTTTCTCTTGATTCCTTTTCCCGCCTGGAAATTTCTGTTGAATGCTAAATAGCGAGATGCAAATCAACAGATCATTTTTGGATCAAAACTTTCTCGACAAACAAACACTTAAATGTAGAATCACTTTGACTCTGTAAACCAGACATGATATGAGCAGCGCCTTGACTCTTGCACTTCCTCCAAATATCTTGAGAAAATACTCCAAATAGAACATCATAAAATTGTTGCACTTCCTCCAAATCCAAAATCTATACAGAGATTTTATAGTTCATGTCTTTTCACCAGCAGCAACAACAGCAACATGCGTATTTGCTGATCAATCTGAAATTACAGAGTATATACCGACAAGAATCATCAATTAACACCACCACCTCCGAAGCTAAAGCGTGATTATTTTTCTTGAGGCTACCAAGAAATGAATTAGAATGCGAATGAGGAAAAAGATCAAGACGACTTTGGAGAAGAACCCAGATGCCTCCATAAATACCGACCACTTGCCATATCAACACACGTTCAAGATCAAGACTTTAAAGCCGGCCCATAATTATATAAATTATTACTCAAAAGAAGAAAATTCTAAACATTATTAATTCAAGAAAATTAAAACTCCCACAAAAAGGAAGGAGACATGAAACCCAAGAAAATGCAGAGAGAATCAAAAACTTGTAGAAGCGGGCGGTGGAGTCCGAAAAATCGTTGCGGGCAACATCGAGATCATCGTCGGTAAACTGTTGGGGCTCAGATTTGAGGTTCTTGATGACGAAGCATCTCGGCAAGAGTAGCCGAGAGGAAAATCAGAATTAGCGTCAACGGACACCCTTGTTGCTCGTCTCTTTGTTCTCTCTGTGATTAATCTGTGGGTTGCTTGCACAGAGAGAGAGAGAGAGAGAGAGAGAGAGAGAGAGAGAGAGAGAGAGAACAAAAATGGTGGAGTTTGGTTTGGAAATTGAAGAAACTTATATAAACGGAAGAAAGTGATGGGTGCACGTGCGGCGTTTTCTTCAAAATTTGTAAGGCGTAGATATATATATATATATATATATATAGTAGAAGGGAGTAAAATAGAAGGTATAAAGTAAATAAAAATTAGATAAAATTTTTATATGTAACTTTGCTAAAAAAAAAAAAAATACATTTAACAGTTTAATGTAATATTTTGAATGAGTTGTTGCTCTATAACTCAATGCAGGGCTTGCGCAACAAGTTTGGTGGTTGTTTTAAATATTTCATTACCAAATTAATTAATTAATTTAAATATATATACATCATATACTATTCTCTCTCTCTCTTTCTCTATATATATATATATATATATTTTAATTTATATATTTCAAATTATGTATTTACCTGATATCATCCTGACGTTGGTACAAAAATTAATATAAATATATTAGAAGCGCATATAAAAGTATTTCTGCCTAAAAATATGAATAAAATATTTTTGAATATTCTCCAGATTTTACTCAAAACCTGTTTAATTATTTAAAAATAAAAATAAATTTTGAGACTATCATTACATTAGGGAGGTGTACTTGATATTGACTTGTTAATCAATAAAAAATAATAATTTTTGGATTAAAAATAATAATGGCTAATGGCTAATGGTCAGCCTTAGTAAGTAAATACATATTTTAATTTATAAAAAAACATTAAGTTATTATTTTAATTTATCAGCCCAACTACCAAATGAAACGGGCCGCTCGTGACGACTGACAAACAGAGTGGGCTAGTTGTCTGGTTCGTGTTAAAAGGTACGCCTTCGTACTCTTCTCTCATCTGTTTTGTATTCTAATGGTCCAAACACTTCAACATTCTCTTTTTTTTTTTTTTTTTCACATTCCGCGGCTCCGCCCACGGGTTGTGTAATGCTTTTGGATTCTCTGAGATTTCTTGGAGCCTATCTGTTTGCAGATTGAAATCGATAAGCCGTAGTATTCAAGATAATTCTCCTGCAATCTCAGTCGACTCCTCAAAAAGTGAGGTAAACCTATTCTTCTTTATTCCTTTCTCTTCTTTCTGCTATTATCTTATGATATGAGATGAGACGCCAATTGGTCACCCCTCCTTTATTCTTATTCTTATTCTTATTATTTTCCTTTTCTTCTTCTTCAATATATTAATTTGATCTCTTCTGATTGCTTCGTTCCCGTTCTGCCGCTCTTTTCATTATCCTAAATTTTTCTTACGTGCTGCGAGGTTTATCTTTTCAGCTTTCCCTATTTCCTTTTTAGTAAACTCTCGCTGTAGTCTACTTAGCTTTGTTAATCGATGCTCATATCTTCAGAAGGACAGCAGAAGTTTTACTTGCTGGTGCAGTGTTGTAAAAGTTTATTCAAGTTTTGATTTCGATTATGTTTATATGGTGTTACTGCTGCAGTTTGGTTTGGCTGCCATTGTTATTTTGACGCCGCATTATGACGGACTTGCCTTCCCCTACTGGTTTTATGTTCATCCATGACCCCAGCAAACTACTTCTCTGGCTAGCGTCTGTCTTTTCTGGTATCATCATGTGCAAAATTGTGAGTCCATTTGCTAATTGTCATCCGGCGCTGTATGTTTCTTCTTGCATTTCTTAAGAATCTAGCCTCAGACTGCAGCCTGCGTTATTGTCGATAAAAATTGTTGTTATTTATTCTTTTTCTTTGTTTGAGCAAGGTTGTACCTACTACCCCAGACCACTAGAATTGGATCCTATACCTGTTAAGGATTAGCGGACTGAAGAGTTTCTTTAGGAATTCCAAAAAAAGAAAAACGTAGAGATCTGCTTTTGGCTGCATGATAAAACTTTCAATTCTTTACAGAATACGTTCATTTTCAATTTCAGTTTTTGGAACATCCAAATAATGTTTATTTGTTAAGCTTCTGAGTTGTAAGAATTTTTCTGTTAACAAACACTAATCAATTGTAAAATAAAGGAAAATAATATTATTGAGGTAGAGTAGTTGAGAAAATATGTCCTTAGTGCTTCTTAGCATGGTAGTACCTGTTTAATTAATTTAATGGCTTGGAGCTATTTTGTGTTTATGGATAACTAAAGCTTCATTCTCTTATTGTTTGGAGGACTAGAGGAATTATTTACTGCTTTAGGGAGGTTGTGAATCAAAGTTTGATGCTCATCTGGTTAAGCTTGATGGTAGGTTTTGTGGCTATTGCATTATTTGCTACTGGAGAAGGTTCTTTTTTCTAGAGCAAAGATGAGGATACCTAAACAACATAGGTCGCAATGTTGATAGTCTGAATATCTCTAACAATGTTTTCATTACTTAGGCCAGGATGAAGATATCCAAAGTACCTAAGGTTTTACTGAAAGGAAGTTCTCCTGAATTTAATGCATTGCATGGACCGTGATGGTCTCAAGATCCCCTGCAAATGCTCAACAGGATGAGAAAACAAGGGTTGGGTTGAGTGTGAAGAAGATGAGTGTATGCAGTGTTGGGTGAGAGCTTGAAAGCACAGGAATTATCAAGACTGTTGTTACTTCAATTTATTCAAGACGTAGCAAAAGAGGCCAGAGTGGGAATAAGACAGATTTGGTATGACAAATTTCTCTATTTGGTTGAGGGAAAATTAAGATTTCTTATAAAATGTGTCACAACGTTACCTTTGGGAACCGAAAGGCCTTTTTTAGTCTTGCTCTTTTTTCATGTTCTCCCTGATTCTTGGAAGAAAGGCCTTTTTTTCTGTTATATTGAAATTATGGGAACAGAAAATAACTGCTATTTTAGCTATTATGTATGAGACAGCTAATACTGTGAATACCTTTGAAGACATTCTTTCTTTTAGTAGTGACTGTCATTGAGTTTTTTATTTTGTTCTGCGTGGATTTACTTGGCTTCTGATCGAAGTTAATGGTTGGCTTTATTTTGTGAAAATGATAGGCAATAACAGTTATTATTGTTTAGCTAAGAATGCATTGAAGATAATCTTTTGATTTAGTTCCATGCAATTCAACAAAAGAAATGAATTTTTAGTTTTGTTAGGATCCTGCTAGTGCATATGCTTTATGGCCATAGCTTGTTATATTCAATTCCTGCTTTCTCAGACTTCTGTCTTAAACAAAGCTCCTCATTGTTTATTAGATATTTTTGTGTCCTTAGTAGCCAACTAATTGTATTTTGTCCTTGAAGGTTTATGAATTGACAGGTTTGGTAAGTTTTCTGTGCTTCAGAGTATATGGAAAACTGCGGGATGCAGAAAAAATAGAATGGAACAATAGGTGATGTTCTTTTTCAAATTGACTATTTACTGACGGTCAGATTCTGGATGGACCAAATAAACATTAATGGCTCTTGCTGTGCAGGGGTTTCTCAACTTTTCATGCACTTGTTGTAGCAGTGGCTTCTTTATACCTACTATTATTTTCAGATCTTTTCAGCGAGAACTCTCTTGATGATTTAACTGTCAATAGAACATCAACTCTGTCAGAGACTATATTGGGGGTAAAACTTATTTTCAGAAAGAAGAAGTGGTTTTTAAAGTTTTATATTAATTTTTACCCTCTACCTTGACAACACACAAAGGCTTAGTTTATTCAAGAATGTCAGTTACACAATTACTCTACTTTCAAGAAGGCCAAGTTTCTGTCCCATGTCACAATTATTGCTTCCCAGCTGGGTAGCATGAACTCTGAATTGCTGCAATCTGTATATAGCTTGTAATTTCTTTTGCTTATTTGGCAAGGATGGTAAACCCGTGTAAATGGTTATAGAACCCTACACTTTGAGAATTCCCCTTAAGATGTGGGCAAATATTAACCAGTCAGACTACTGCCTAGTGATATACTTATTTAAGTTACATACTGAGAAGTGTTTTCTTTTACTTCCCTGCTTCTACTACTTGAATTAGAAGCATTTCTGAAAGGAAAATAGGAAGGAAAAGGGAAATTGAACATGCATGTAATGTATGGCATGCAGTGCATCAAAGACAAATTGAATTTGGGAATTTTCTATTTACTGATTTTGAAAGCAACAAGCATGAAGAAACATATAATAGTTGTCTATGTATTGTTCTGGAAGCTGTTCCCTCCTTTTTTTTTGTTCTTTCTTGTTTTTTTGTAAAAATATTCTATATTTTTTACTTTTGGCCACTCTTGTACAGATCTCCATTGGTTATTTTCTGTCAGATTTGGCGATGATCCTTTGGCATTATCCATCTTTAGGTGGTCCGGAGTATGTAAGTATGAGGCATAAAATGGTTACTTTTTGGAGAAATTTTACTAACTAGTGGTATGGAATTATTATTCCACAGTTCAACCTGGTTTCAAGTTGTGTATGGTTATTCGGGTTCTGAATTTTGTTTGGCTGAGATTTTTAATACATCAATTGACAAGGTAGTGGTTGTTTGAACAAGTTCCTTGAGCCTGCTGCTTTCCTTTTTAGGTTACTTTACTGGCCAAGATTTGTGTTTTGTTAGTTCCATTTAAACTCCTTTGCCATTTTAACTTCATCTTTTGTGGTCAGATCCTACATCATGGGCTATCCATGTTTTCCATCTTCCTTTCTGTCATAAGTGGTCAAGGACAGATGTACATACTAATGGTTCTCTTCTCAGAGTGTACAACTCCTTTTGTAAACCTAAGATGGTAATGTGGAGTCACAAAACTCCTTCCTTTCGATATTCTTACTTGGTTGTCAACATTGACTTATAATTGTAACTATCATTCAGGTACTTGGATGTTGGTGGTCAGAAGAGCTCCAAAATTTATGTCTTCAACGGTGTTGCATTGTTCCTTGGCTGGCTGGTAAGTAGAAGCTTGATTTATTTCACTCTTGCAACATTTGTGTACCTTAGGTTCACTGGCATTAATGAATATAATACTTATCCAATTAGCCATGAGGCATTTTATTTAAGTAGAAGTCCTAAACTTAATAATATAATCGTATCAATGTTTTGCTTGTTGTACTTACAACGTTTTACTGTTGCATTACTTCTTAGTGCTGTTTTAAGGAAAAAGTGGTTAGTACTTTTAGTTAAAATAAGAATAAAGATTTATCAAAAAGATCATGTATTTTATCTCATTTAAGTTTAGTAGAGAAGTCGTAATATTTTCCAGAGCAGTAGTTAAAATTAACCAGAACCATACTAGAGAAACCAAAAGTAACAAAGCCCAAGTATCCATTTGGTTCAGCTCCAGCTTCTGCTGGAAAAGCACAAAACTGAAGCATAATTAGCTTTTATTAAATATGGCTTTTTGAAAGAATTTTTTTTTGAAATCAAGCTTTTAGAAAGAATTTATTTAGTGTTTGGTAAAGTATGTTCTTTTCAGCACAAAAGTGGCAACAAAAAGCTAAAATAAGCAAAAGCTCTAAACATAATATTATAACAACAATGGCAGAAATAATTTGTATATGGAATTTCTGGAGGTTTTCTCTCCCCTTTTCTTTTTCACTTTTAATTTTTTATCTGCTGTGAAGGAAGAATTAGGAAAACTTCATTTGTATTTTTACCCCTTAAAATTACGTTTCACTGTGAATTTACACTAGAAGTATGTTTTTTTTTTCAACATAAAAGTGGCGGTAAAAAGCTAAACTGAATGAGCACGTTAAACATTGTAGCCATAATATCAAATAATATGTATACAACCTATAAAACCAGACATCTCAGGTTTGATTCCATGCTGGTGATAAAACTTGCGATTAACATGGAATTTTCGAAGAAAAAAAAAACCTTAACATGGAACATTTATTTGGGAATGTGGAACCAGAGCATCAACGCCAATGTAATGCAAAGGATGGGTGAGATACGGCCCTGTGTGGCTGGTCCCCCCTTTTTTTCTTGAAGTATTATTTATTTTTTTAAAAAACTTGTTTTGTTAAGGGTTTGAATTTGGAATTTTCCTACTGCTTTGCTTGTTTGAGAACAGAGAAACAAGAAACATTTATTATAATGTTGTTATGCATCTAAATCCTCTAAAAGAGTTGTCATGCAGTTAAATTTTTTTATTTTCTTGCCCTTCTAATTTGTGACCAAAAGAATATTTTGGAATTCATATTAGAAATCCACAGTTCTTTTTGTTAGGAGAATTGCGTAAATGATATTAGGATGGAAAAAATCAATCTCATATCGAATTTTAATTAAAACAATGGATTTTAAATTCTATTAGGTATGGAATTTAAAAATACTGTTTCAATAGTGGAATTTCACATGAGCCTGCTTCTTATCATTTTGGAAAAAGGATTTTCACCGTTTTCTAGTTGGATTATGTGCAGATTTTTAATAAATTCCATAAAACTTTTGAGTTCAAAACATATCTTAAATCTCTTGAGATTCTATTTTTTTTAAGTCTAATTCAGGTGATACCATGTCTAGTCTGTGATGACGTTTTGACTGCAAATTTGTGTGGTTATTTCTTGGGCTTCTACTATAAATTGGTTGAAGTTTTTAACTTTTTTCTTGCTTAAATGATTAGGATTCAAGTTGTGAAATTTGTAAGCACTAGTAATCCATTTGATGTAGCGGGAGATCCTGCTATTTAGAAGCGTTACCAAACTTGATTCAGTGGCTAATGATTTTCCATGGATTTGTGTCTTGTTTTCAGATTGCTAGGATTCTTTTGTTCATCTTCTTTTTCCTCCACATGGTTACCCATTTTGATCAGGTGAGTATGCTCTACAGTTCAGTTCACTCATTGAAAGCTTAGCTAAATAAATAGTCAAAGCATTAAGCTTGTCTGATTTTACAACCTCAAAGCTTCTTACCTATTTCAAATGGTTTATTTAAATCAAAATTTCATATCGGGAAACCTCCAATGTTAAATAGCCTGCAGATCAGCATACCAAAATATATGATAATTTACAGATGATGAGCATACCAAAAAATATGATAGTCTATAGTCGATGAGCCGTTAATCTCTTCTCTCCCTCTCTCTCTCACAGTGAAAATTCCTAGGTAAGATTAGTTTCTGTTGTGTGTTTCAGGTGAAGAAGATATTTCCTTTGGGATTCTATAGCTTGCTTACGGTGCCACCTGTGCTGGCAATGATGAATGTGGTTTGGTTCTGGAAGATAACTAGAGGGTTGGTAAAAACTCTTTCAAAAGCAAGACATAATCAGTGAGACGAGCACGTTGTTGTTTGCTGGGTGTATTCAATCATACAAGAATTGCACACTGGATTCTTCCATACATCTTTTGTTTTATTTATACATTTTTTAAATGCCCAAAATTGTAAAATTCCAATAGAAAATTATAAATAGATTGCTCTCTGTTCATGAACTAATAAGTGAGAAATTAGAGTCATAGGACAAAAGGTAGATGTCAAAATCCCAACAAAGTTGGAGTAAGTTACAGTAGGTTTGGATCCAACAATGGGAATTTTTAAGTTGTTAGATACTAATATTCAAAGGATACTATTTAAAAAAAAAATTAAATTATAATATCTCTTTAGTTGTGTATAAATTAAAATATAAATCTACAAAAATATTTTTAATTTTTGATATTTTTTTAGATATTACACATAATGTTCAGAATCTTAGGGGATTGATTTGCGATTCTTGACATGAGAAAGTCGGGTTTTAATTCTCACTTTTTATCAACTTCGATTTAAACACGTGAAACTGAGAAATTATTGTTTTTTTTTTTTTTTTTGTCTTTTTGCCAAATATATAAATCCAAAATCAATTGAGAAAGTAATTTGCTTGGGTGTCTGGTCAGTCTAGTTGACTAATGAATTAAATTATAAGTTAGTTTGGTGTTGGTAGGTTGGAATTAAATTGGATGATGAACTGACAGGTCAATACTAAACGTGATAATCCGATTGTTGAAATTCTATGTCGCCATTCAACTAAATCAGTGTTCCCACGCGGGCCTATTATTTTTTTTCATTTGTTTAAATATATACTGATTAATGTAATTATATTAACATGTATTTATTATTTTAATTTATTATATTTTAAAAGGTAATTATTAAGAAACACAAAAATATAAGTAATTTAAATAATATTTAATGTTTTATATAATTTAAAATTATTAAATTTTCAGCACAATTCGTATTTATTAATACAAATATATTTAATAATATAACTATTTAATTTATCTATATTTTTAATAAACCCCAGCCTCCTCCTTCATCCTACTTAACAGACACTCCTCCTTTTTCATATATATTTTTTCCTCCAACGCTCCTCCTTCATTAGCCGCACCGGTTCCTCACATTCCTTTGTCGAGCCTGCTTCACTAGCCACAACAACTCCTCGTCATCTTCTACCGTTCTCTTCTTTTCTTCATCATCATCCTCTTCGTTCGCGCCTTCGACACTTTAACTAGTTGTTTCATTCAGTCTACCTCTGTCAAGAATAATAGATTTACCTCCATTGGAGATAGTTCGCACATACTAGTTTCACTTCGTCTTCGCTGTTACTCATTCGTCCACAATGGCTCCTTGAAACGCAAAGGTGCATTTCGGCAACTCTTCTTTATGTGGTGTTTTCTGGTTGGATAAAATAGTAACAGTATAATTCAATGTTTAAGCAGGATGAAAGTTAATGTGTGCATTTCTGCCCCAAGATATTAAAAAACAATCACACAAATACTCTAAAATTTTTAATGTAAAAAACTTTTTCAATGTGAATGATAAAAATCACAGAGAGCTCTACTATAAAAATTAGTGTTTACAACAACAATAAACAATAACTATAATTCTTAAACAAATACTCAACAAAAAATCAACCAAACAACAAGAGATAAATAAAGGAATAGAGAAATGTCACCATAGCAACTATTCTTCATGCAAAATAGATGTGTTCTGATTGTTCAAATCCGATCTCTACTGTTCAGATTAAAAAACGACTTATCCCAAATATACTCACCAAATTTCAGCTTCATTAGACCATAAATGACCGTCCGATCATCAGAAAAAATCAAACTGGTCGGTGCAGAAAAGAAAAACATGAATAATAACTTTAAACTAAAAGTATTGAAAATCTAACCGTCCAAAATCGATCTCCACAGTTTAGAATGAAGAACAATGAGTCTTCTAAATACTCATCAAATTTCAGTCTAATTCGAGTAAAGATCACCGTCTGATCGTAGAAAGAAGCAAAATACGTTGGATGTAATTTTTCTACCAAAAATTTCCTTTTTTGTTCTCTACCTTTTGATGGCTGAAAATTTATTTTATACTATTCCTTAGAATTAAAGTGGTATACCCAAAAAAATTCTAATAACCATAATGGGCTAAAAATAAGTGAGCTCAAAAATGATTTGAGTTTTTTTTACATAAGAGGGAACTCAAAACCCAACAATATTCCCCCTTTCGACTATGTGGAGGAGTTTGCTATACCAGCAACCAGTCGACATGCTTCAAATTTTACTCTTGGTAAAACCTTTGTGTATATATCAGAACCTTTATCATCTGTGTGTATCTTCTCAAGTTCAAGCTACTTAGAATCCAAAAATCATGAATCCAATGATACCTCACATCAATGTGTCTGGATCTACCATGAAAAGTAGGATTCTTACCAAGATGAATAACACTCTAACTGTCATAAAATAAGACATATCTCTATTGTGTAAAGCCTAGCTCATTCACAAATTTTTTCGTCTAAAACAATTCTTTATATGCTTCAGTCGCTATAGTGAACTCAACTTCTATAGTAGACAATGCAATGCATTTTTGCAACCTAGATTGTCATGTCACAGCTCCCCCTACAAAAGTAATCAGATACCCAGAAGTAGACTTTCTTGAATCTATATCCCCTACTAAATCAGAATCTGTAAAACCACTGAGAATAGGTTTTTCAATCCCAAAATACAACTTCAAACTAGTAGTACCACAAAGATATATCAAAATCCACTTCACGGCATTCTAATGCTCTTTTCATGGATTAGATAGAAATCTACTAACAATACCAACTGCATGAGCTATATCTAGTCCAGTACAAACCATAACATACATCAAGCTAGCTACTGTATATGCATAAGGAATTTTTTACATGTCTTCTTTCTCTTGCTTGCTAGAATGAGACTGTTTGACACTCAATCTAAAATACATAGCAAGAAGTGTACTTACAAGTTTAGCTTTGATCATATTAAATTGTTGCAATATCTTTTCAATGTACTTTTCTTGAGATAACCATAATTTTTTACATTTTCTATCATGAGTAATTCTCATGCTAAGAATGTGTTTTGCTGGCCCTAAATCTTTCATTGCAAAATATTTGCTTAACTCTTTCTTTAAGCTTTCAATTCTGGAAGAACTAGAACCCATAATGAGCATATCATTAACATATAGTAATAGGATGATAAAATCATTATCAGAAAATCTCTACATAAAAACACAATGATCAAAAGTAGTCTTCTTGTAGCCTTGTTGAATCATAACTGACTCAAACTTCTTATACCACTGCCTAGGTGCTTGTTTCAATCCATATAAACTCTTTCTCCATTTGCAGACATAATTTTCTTTTCCTTTCACCTTCAGGTTGTTCCATGTAGATTTCCTCCTCTAAGTCACCATGAAAGAATGTTGTTTTAACATTCATTGGCTCAACCTCTAAATCAAGACTAGTAGCTAACCCCAAAATAACACGAATTGACGACATCTTAACCACTGGTGAGATAATCTCCTCAAAATCAACTCCCCTTTTCTGACCAAAGCCCTTGACAACTAATCTGGCTTTGTATCGTGGAGATTTAGAATTCTCTTTTTGCTTGACTCTATAGATCTACCTATTTTTCAAGGCTTTTTTATCTTTAGTAAGCTTCACTAATTCAAAGGTGATTATTCGATCAAGACTGTATTTCATCTTTCATAGCCGCAATCCAATCTACCTTTTGCTCACTCTCAATTGTCTCCTCATAACATTCAGGTTCTTCGTCATCTGTCAAGAGTATGTACTCATTAGGTGAATACCTAATAGAATGTGTTCGATCTCTAGTAGATCTCCTAAGTGGAACTTCAAGTTCCTCAACATGTGTCTTCTGTTGAACATCAACTGCTTTATATTCAGTAGCACCAATTTCATATGTATTATGATTCTCATTTTGCACATCATGGTTTTGAACCTCAACTGCATCAGACATATGAGTTATAGGAGATGGATATAAATCAATCAAACCACCAATCTGAGATATAGATTTCTCAAGTTTGTTAATATTTTCAATAGTTTGATCCTCTACAAAAATTACATCACGACTTCTGATAATTTTCTTTTGAACTGGGTCATAGCATATGTAACCAAACTCATTTTACCTAAAACCAATGAAAATATACTGTCTAGTCTTGACATCTAACTTAGACCTCTCATCTTTGGAACCATGTACAAAACATTTGTAACCAAACAATCATAGGTGTTTATAGGAAACACATCTACCATACCATAACATATTAGGAACATCATTTCTCAATGCAATAGTGAGAGTTAGATTGATCACATATACAACAGTATACAAAACTTCACTCCAAAAAGAGTTAGATAATTTAGCATCTGAAAGCACACATCTAACTCTCTCAATTAATGTTCTGTTCATCTTTTCTGCCAAACCATTCAACTGAGGAGTTTTAGGAGGTGTTTTATGATGTCTAAGACTTTATTCTCTACAGTATGTATCAAATGACCCATAATACTCATCACCATTATCAGTGCAAATATGTTTAAACTTTTTTCCAGTTTCTCCCTTAGCAGAAGCTTGAAATTATTTAAATGCACCAAGCATCTGATCTTTCCATAGTCTTATTGAATGATCATTAATAAAGGTCACAAAGTAAAGTGCACCACTAAATGACTTATCCTTCAAAGAACCACAAACATCTGAATGCACCAGCTCAAGAAAATTATCTTTCCTGGACAAAGAATGATATTTGAAAAAAACCCTCTTTTATTTTCAAGCCAAGCAATGAGAACACCTGTCTAATGTTGCACCTTTTAATTCTGAAAGTAAATTCCTTTTAGCTATACAATCAAGTCCATTCTTACTAATATGACTCAGTCTCTTGTGCTATAATTCTGAGGAGTTATCCCCTTTAACTGCATTAATAAGATCTGTAGAGATTGAAGCTTGTAACCAATATAAACCCGAAGTCTTCTTTCCTTTACCCATTATCAAAAGTGCTGCAATAGTCATCATCATCAAGTTTACTAGTGGAGATTAAATGCAACTTAATATCTGGAGCATGTCTAACATTCTTGAGCTTTAACTTTGTTCTATTTTAGGTCTCTAACAAATAGTTCCAATACCAATCATATTTGACATTCCATCATTACCCATCTTTAAAATCCCAAAAATCATCGAGAGTATAAGATGTGAAGAATTCATTCCTTGATGTAACATGAAAGCATGTACCACTGTCAAGAACCCAAACAGTATCATCATAGGCTACATTGATCATATTCTCTTGATAAACTATAGCCAAATTATCATCTAAAGTGGTAGTGGTAACACGATCAATATTATTATCATTTCCCTTCTTTTCTTGTTTCCCTTTGTCTACTTTATTCTCTTTCTTCCACCTGTAACAATATTTATTGATATGCGCTATTTTACCATAATGATGACATTCAAGGTTCTTGTACCTTAATTTTGATTTACTCCTGCTCTTGTCTCTATTTTGATCTTGACCCTTACTTTTACTTCTCAACTTATTTTTAGTAACAAAGATTTTTAACTGTGAACTAGATGTTCCTTGAGTTCTTCTTCTCATCTCTTCATTCAAAATGTCAGTCCTTACATACTGCATTGTTACAAAACCATTAGGAGTAGAATTAGTCAAAAATATATTAAAGTTTTCCCATGAGTAAGGAAGTGTAGTCAATAACCAAAGCCAAATAACATCTTCATCAAATTTGACACCTATGCCTGATAGTTGATCAATGATACCTTGAAATTCATTCACATGATCAAGTATAAAACAACCTTCTGTATATTGTAGGCATATAGCTTGTTTAAGCAAGAATAACTTATTATTTCAATCTTTAAAACATATAAGGTTTCAAGCTTTTTTCACAAAATTTTGGCATTTGTTTCATTAGCAATATGATTCAACACATTATCTTTTACCCATTGTCAAATAAAACCACATACTTGTAAGTTCTCAAATTTCCAGTCTTCATCGGATTTAGACTCAAGTTTTTGAGAAGCAAACAAGGTAAATACAACCTTTTCACAACAAGAAGAACCCTCATTTTTTCTTTATACTTGTAATAATTTGTGTCATCCAAACAAACTATTTTACTCACATTCACTTCCATCATTCAAACAAGTAAAAGAAAATCCATAATCAACTAATAAATTAGTGAATCTAGCTCTGATACCACTTGTAGGGAATCACTTGAATGAATCTATGAGGAGTGAAAACTAAATAAAAATTCAGCTAAAATAAATATGATAAAATCTGACCTAAGATGCTAAAAAACAATCACACAAAGACTCCAAAATTTTTAACGTAGAAAACCCCTTCAATGTGAATGATAAAAACTACGGGACCTCTCATGATCCAAGTAAAAAGAGTTCCATTATAAAAATTAGTATTTACAGCAACAATAAGCAACCACTATAATCCTCAAACAAATACTCAACAACAAATCAACCAAATAACGAGAGATACACGAGCCACCAAAGCAGCTACTGTTCATGCGAAATGGATGCGTTCTAATTATTCAAATTCGATCTCCATCATTTAGATTAAAGAACAATTTATCCCGAACATGCCACCAAATTTCAACCTCATCAGACCACAAATGACTGTCCAATTGTCGGAGAAAGTCAAACTAGTCGGTACTAGGAAAAAAACGTAAGCAGTAATTTCAAACTGAAAGTACTAAAAATTCAACTGTCTAAAATTGATCTCCACCGTGCAGAATGAAGAACAATGAGTCTTCTAAATACTCACCAAATTTCAGTCTGATCCAAAAAAAGATCGTTGTCTGATCGTAGAAAGAAACAAAATACGTTGGATGTAATTTTTTCAACAAAAATTCTTTTTTTATTTATCTACTTTTTGGTGGCTGAAAACTTGTTTTAATACTATTCATTAAGTTTAAAGTAGTATACAAAAAAAAAAAAAAAACCCCTAATAGGTAAAAAATAAGTGGGTTCAAATTTTTTGTGTGTTTTTCCATATAGGAGGGAACCCAAAACCCAACAGTTTTCTGGTTGGGTAAAATAGTAACAGTATAATTCAATGTTGAAGCATATTGAAAGTTAATGTGTGTGTTTTTTATATATCTAGCTTTCATGGTTTTATTTTTATTTCCTCTTCTTATTGGAGGATCGCATATCCAATCATAGCTTGAAAAACTAAAGGTGGGAGGGGATTCAATAAATATTAGTATATAAATTTATATTCGTTGAATTATACTAAATAAAAAAATAATAAATTAAAATTTTAAACATTATGTATTATTAAGTATGAAAATAATAATATATTTTTAAATGTTGTGGCTTAAAGTGGTAATTATTTGGGCATTTTAATATATATGTGTGTGTGTAGTTTAACTTGAGAGTTTATTTACTTGTGTTGTCTTGAAAGGTGTGAAAGAGATTCAAATGAATATAGGTTAAAATACCAAAATGTCATTTGAATTATATAAAATGTTCAATGTTTCTTTCGAAGTAATTTTTTATTTAATTTTTTTTTGAAATTTTAAATTTGAGGCAAAATTCTTTCTCGATTAATTTTTTGTGACGTTAGTGACTTGGTTGACATGTCACCAAAAGAAGCAAGCCACCTAAATATGAGTTTTAAATTTGTTGACTTAAGATCCACGTTAGCACTTATGTCATTGCTTATGTTAAGATTTTTTAAATCATTTCTATCTGCATAGAAAATTTTACATTCTACAATGACTATTAAGGTGTGAGTATTATCTTGTCTAAACTGAATTGATAAATTCAATTTAAATATAATATAACCGAACAATATTTCACTCGATCTTCATTTTAGAAAATTTTAAATTGAAAATATTAGTCCAGTTTGGTCATACTCTAAGTTCTAAAGAGTTCAAACATTGAAATCATGTTCCATCCTCTCATTCCAGATCTTTAATAAATCACCTCCGGCCAAACTGCTGACTTCACTTAGAACCTAACCAATATTAAAAACTTTTCCAACATCTACTTCTGTTACGTTGCCATTGACAACGAACTCTAACCTTTTGATTTCTTTGCACAATTTCTCGTTTTTATAATGGAGAACATTTAGTAGGCGCTTACAAATACCAAAATTATTAACTGAATCAAATTCTCATATGCTAACGATATTGAAACCCTCATCATTTCTTTTGTGGCACAAACAAGTTTTTAAGAAATTATTTTCGTTTAATTCTTGACCCCATCATTCTCTTCCTGGTCAACAATTGGTAGCAGTTACTAATTAATCTCTATCCTTACGTAAGCTTAATTAATAATATAAGAGACATTTGACTTCGTGAAGTTTGAATGAAAAAAAAAAGTCAATTCATTTCCATTGCCTTCCCTTCCTCTCCCTCCATTATCCTCTAACCACCCATCATCACTCTACTCCTCAATTACATCACCACCTCCAATGTCCCGACCACCAAGATATCCTCTGGTAAGCACCCAATTGTCTTCTTCTTCATCTGCAAGCTCTCTCTTGTAACTCCCTCTAGAGGTCCTTCAATTTTCTTTAGGCATAAGGGAAAAAGAGTTGACATGTGCTGGAAAAATGGGTATTAGAAAAAAGTTAATGTGTCATCCAGGTGTTTGCTAATGTGGATGCGACGCTAGCATAAATTAACACATAACTTAGACAATTGTCGTCTCACATTCGTGAGCTTATATGCTATTAGAGAAAGTTAATAGGGAGAAAAAAATATTATTATATTTTTTAAAGTTTAATGGAAAGTTTTTTTTTTTTTTTTTTTTTTTTTTTTTCTAATAAAAAAACTCCAAGGGAAATTTTGAACATTTTGTATAGTTCCGGGGGTGTTTTGGTATTTGGTCAATGAATATAATATTGATATATTTATATTTTTATTGCGTTATATTAAATCAAATATATACATACTAATTTCTAGCACACCCTACGTTTATTAGACTATATAATTAATGTAATTATATTTAATACATATTTATTTTTAAATTTTTAAATAAAAAATGATATATTTAGATATAGGTTAGAAATGAAAATTAAACCATTATTAATTAAAGTAATTTATTATTATAATTATTAAACATGTGATAATTGATAATAATATTATTAATTATATAGTAATTAAATATACATGGATATAAATTAAATTGGTATATAAAAATAAATTAGTTGTAGGTCATTAATATATTTATTTTACTCGAGTCATATTAATTTTTTTAGGGACATTCAATCATATAAGGTAAACACATGATTTGAATTATGTACATTAAAAAATTAGAGAATAATATATAATGTATATATACTTAAAATTAATTAATTCGGAACTAAACATGTAAAATAAAAAAATTATATATTTATTATATTAGCACTTTAAATTATTATATAATATTAAACATTATGATGCAGATAAATCAACAGTAAACTTTTTACAAATACGTGTGCATATATATATATATATATATATATTTAGTATAATTAATGCTTTTGCGATGATGTGGCTTTACAAATATAGATGCGACTATGATCTAGTTACATATATACACAAGTACCCATGTATGTATTGATTTATAAAAGACTATGATTTACTTCCTCCCTCGCCAGGTGTTCCTGTTCCTTCCTCGGTCTTTCGCTCGCTTGGGGTGCCTGTTTTCTCGCCGCCCCATTTCTTCTCTCCGTCTAAATAAATATATTTTCAGAAACACATTATTATTGTTGAAATGGTTTCTTTCTTTTCACTTTTTGCTGTTTGGTTTGATGGCTTTTTTTCTTTGACATGATACATCTGTGAGTCCGGTCCTTCAGGCCCACCCGAACACATTCGTATTTCTGATTCGGATATGGACATGGAGCAGTTGAGTTATTTAATTGCAACGGCATTCGTGCTATATTAATCATATCATGATAAACAGTTGTAACACGGCAAATTAAGAAACCTCGTACTCGATTTGACTCATCAGATCCATTACCTGCTATCTCATCTGACAATACTAACTAGGACATGTTAGTATATCACTGTGTTGAAAAAGATATACGATAAGAAGTACAAAGAGAAAGCAGAAAATGTGGAGGAGGCTGTGGTATGGTGGTGTATTCAAGTTTGGGAGGAGGCATCCCACTTCTTGGCCTCGTTCATGGGGGTTTTTGGTTGGATCTTCACCTACTCCCGCTCATCCTTCTCCGAAGCCTCTCTGGAGAACTATTACGTATTTTTCTGATCTATCCCAGTCCAATAATGTAGGAGGAGGACTGGGTAACATAAAGTTTGAACAGGCTAAGAAACTGATGAGACTGGTGAATGTGGCAGAACTCAAGGTTAAGCTTGGAGCGGAGGAGAAGGAAGTCATCGGCTACTCCGAGCTCCTGCAGGTCTGCAAGAGCATGGGCATTGTTAGATCTCTAGAGGAGGCTATTGCTTTCGCTATCGTCCTTGATGACGCCGGAGTCGTCCTTCTCTTCCGCGACAAGGTCTTCCTTCATCCCGACAAGGTAACTTCCGTTTCGATTTACTTCTGAATCTATTTTTTAACCCCTTTTTCCTACTTTTTCTGTACTACTGCCCCACCACTCTTTTTTTTTTTTTTTTTTTTTTACTTTTCTTCCTTGTGAAATTAGTAGATAGGATTTGGTACATATTCACATTCTTCCAAGTGGGATGTCTAGTTTTTACCTTCTGAATCCAACCCGTGCTCTTTATTGCTATAATCTTATTTAAATCATTATGTTCTCGTTCCTTTCTTCTGGATCCCTGCTATTTACTACATTGGTTATCAGTAAAGTGATTAGGTCCCCAGAATCTTCAAACATGACGCTCTCTGCGTAGTCATTTTGCTGAAAGTAGACAGCCTTTTCAATTTTGTTGATGGAGTTCATGGGTTAGGTCATCCTTCGGCCTAATATGACCATAAAGCGAGGTTGAAAGCAGGAAATGAGATCATCCTCAAAACAAATTTACTTCTTTCTGGCTCCAACTTTGAACTTTTCTAATAATTAAGCATACACATGGTGATCTTGTTATGTTTTCTAATATGGTTTGAAGTTGAATTCTCTCCATTGTTTGATGATTCTTTCAAATGCAACTTTTAATTGCTCAACTAATTCGTCGACTGCAGCATATGGAATTTGGAGTGGTAGTCGAGAAGCTGGGTGCCTGTCCTGTCCAGCTGTCCTTCTTGGTCTTTCCTTGAATTCTGTTTTAATTGCAATTTGTCAACACTCTGCTGCACATCCACTTGGTCAAAATTGAAAACCATATTTGATGTTGAAAGCTGTATCCGTGATTCTGACCCAAGTTTCGTTTTAAATTCCATAGAAGATTTCTCTGCCTATTTTGGGTTTGACTAAGTTTCGTGATTCTGAAAGCATTTGTTCAGAAACTATGCTTAGCACCCACTTAGGATGTTAATAGTTAACTAGAAAGACAGTGTGTTGTCATAAATTTACCACATTGCAGTTTGACACCCACTTGGTAACTGCTTGTCCGTTCTATGTCCAACAGGTCTATGCCGTCGGTACATACTTTAGAAGGCAAATGTGATTAAACTTTTCCTCCGAAAAAAGTGTGAAGTCAAAATTTAATTATTTATTTAGTTAATTTGGTTAGCACTCATCGCATCGAAATTTATTGGGCATCTCATCCCCAAATATTTTCAGGTAGTGGATCAGGTTAGAAGAGCAGTGCCCCTTGCCCTGACTGCTGACTATGACCCTGTGAGGGATGAGCTGAAGATGCTGCAGGAAAGGAAGGAAGAAATTGATGTGCTGGCACATAAGCAGGTTAGGCGAATCCTTTGGACCGGGCTGGGGGTGGCTGTAGCACTAGTCTCACTCTTCTTCCGGCTGACTTTCTTTGAATTATCATGGGATGTAACGGGACCCATTGCATTTTTTACCACAACCACGGGCATAGTCGTTGGCTATGCCTATTTCCTATTCACTGCTAGAGATCCATCTTACCAAGACCTGATGAAGAGGCTTTTTCTCTCAAGGCAAACAAAACTGTTCAAGAAGCATAATTTTGACATTAAAAGATTCAAGGAGTTGCAGCAAAAGTGCAAAACACCTCTAGGTGCAACTACTTCCATTAAAAATCGGCTAGGCTTGAAAATGGAGTTGGGGGATGCTTTACGTCGGGGCTAACATGATTCCTTTTTGACCCCTCTCTTTTAGGCAGGGCCTTGTACTATTTTTCGTTGCATTCTGTCTCGTTAACCATCTTAGTTCCTGCTGTTTTTGGAGGCAAAGCTTTCTATTTTATGAGACACATGGGTTGGGTTACCTTCTCTTTTCTTTTCAGTTTCTGACGCTTGAGATTGCAGTTTCTCCTCACAAAAGAAAGACCACCCTACTGTCTGTAGTCTAGTTTCGCATCCTTCATTTCTATTTATTGGATAGGAATGACATTGTAATCAAGTTATTAACTTTAGTTGAAACTATATGTTTTATATAACAGCTCTTAAGGTGTGTATAAACATTTAGATTTGGTCTCTAATCTCCATTAATATCTATTGCGGTTTCTTGTTTCAGCAGGTTGTAAAAAAGAGGATTGTTAGAAAAAGTTATGAACTCAAGTCACGTATATTTATTATCAATTATTGGTATATGTATTCTTTAAAAAAATTATTAGCACATTGAAGGTCATGTACATATATGATTAATTATCATACTCATATTTATGTATTTTAATTTATAGCATTTCTTTAGTTTGTGGATAATATTAATTTTAAAGTTATTAAATAGAAAGTACGTAATTTAATTTGTCTTTTTGGGCAACAGATGTCTAAGCAAGAGTATAGAAACAAGTGCTGCTGTGTGTTGGTGGATAATAAATAATTAATCATGTGTTTAGAATTAGATTAGCTGATAATATTCATAAAGAAATAGGGATTAAACTAAGTAATTGTTTATATACTTACAAACACATTATTATTATTATTATTAAAATGGTTCTCTTTTTTTTATTTTCTTTTTTCACTCTAGGCGTAGCCGAGCAGATCCGTATATCTTGTGAAGAAGTAGGAGGTGATGATGGATATGGGCATGGAAGATACACGATTCGGCCATCTAATCCATTATCTACTATCTCGTCGGCCATTACTAACTACTACATATTAGTGTAACACTCACTGTCGAAAAAGCCCTATAATACCAAAAAAGTACGAAGCGAAAGCGGAAAATGTGGAGGAGGCTGTGGTATGGTCTTGCATTCAAGCATAACGTATGTGCGGCTGTTGGGAGGAGGCAACCTACTTCTTGCCCTCATTCGTGGGGGTTGTTGGCTGGATCTTCACCTACTCCTGCTCATCCTTCTCCGATGCCGCTTTGGGGAACTGTTAAATACTTTGCCGATCAATCCCAGTCCAATAATGGAGGAGGAGGAGGAGAACCGGATAGCATAACGTTTGACGAGGCTAAGAAACTGATGAGACTGGTGAATGTGGAAGCACTCAAGGTTAAGCTTGGCGCGGAAGGGAAGGAAGTCATCGGCTACTCCGAACTCCTGCGGGCCTGCGAGAGTATGGGCATGGCTAGATCTCTGGAGGAGGCTATTGCTTTTGCTCGCGTCCTCGATGAAGCAGGAGTCGTCCTTCTCTTCCGCAACAAGGTCTACCTTCATCCCGACAAGGTAATTTCCCTTTCGATTTGCTTCTAAATCTATTTTAATCCCTTTTCCCTACTTTTTCTGTACTACTGCCCCACCCCTCTTTTTTTTTTTTCTGATTTTCCTCCTTGTGAAAAATTAGTCGGTAGGATTTGGTACATATTCACATTCTTCCAAGTGGGATGTCTAGATTCTACCTTTTGAATTCATCTGGTACTCTTTAATACCAGGTATTAGCAATTGCTATAATCTTACTTAAAATCACCATTTTCTCGTTCCTTTCTTCTGGATCCCATGCTATTTACTAAATTGGTTATCAGTGAATCTTCAAACAGGAGGCTCTCTGTGGAGTCATTTTGCTAAGAATAGACAGCCTTTTCAATTCTGTTGGTAAAATTCATGGGTTAGGACATTCTTCGGCCTAATATGACCATAAAGGTGAGACTGAAAGCAGGGCATGAGAAATTTAATTCTTTCTGGTTCCAACTTTAAACTTTTCTACAAGCATACACATGGCAATCTTGTTATCTTCTCGTAATCTTCTTCCACATTGTTTGAAGTTGAATTCTCTCCTCTGTTTGATGATTCTTCCAAATGCAACCTTTATTGCTCAACTAATTCGTCCATTGCAGCATATAGAATTTGGACTGGTAGTCGAGAAGTTGGGTGCCTGTCCACCTGTCCTTCCAGGTCTTTCCTTGAATTCTGTTTTCACTATAATTTGTCAGCACTCTGCTGCAAATACTTTTTCAAAATTGAAAATCATATTTGATGTGCAAAGCTGTATCCATGATTATGATCTAAGTTTCATTTTAACTTCCATAGAAGATTTCTCTGCCTATTTTGGGTATGGCTATGATTGCTGTATGTCCTTGAAAGCGTTTATTCAAAAACTATTTTGAGCAACCATCTAGGATGTTAATACTTAACTAGAAAGACAAGCTGTTGTCATTAATTTACCTCCATTATGGTTTGACACCCATTTTCTAACTTCTTGTTCTGGTTGTTTTCCGTCCAACTGGTCTATGTCCTTGGTACGTATTTTAGAAGCAAATGCAATGAAATCTTTTCCTCTAAAAGAAGTTTTAAGTCAAAATTTCGTTGTTATTTAGTTAATTTGGTTAACTCATATCATATTAAATTTTACTGGGTATCTCATCCCCAAATATGTTCAGGTAGTGGATCTGGTTAAAAGATCAGTACCCCTTGCCTTGACTGCTGACGATGACCCTGAGAGAGATGAGCTGAAGATGCTGCAGAAAAGGAAGGAAGAAATTGATTTGCTGGCACATAAGCAGGTTAGGCGAATCCTTTGGACTGGGCTGGGTGCCGCTGTGGTACAAGTTTCCCTCTTCTTCCGGTTGACTTTCTGGGAATTCTCATGGGATGTAATGGAACCCGTTGCATTTTTCACGACAACCACGGGCATAATCATAGGCTATGCCTATTTCCTCTTCACCTCTAGGGATCCAACTTACCAAGACCTGATGCAGAGGCTTGTTCTCTCAAGGCAAAGAAAACTGTTCAAGAAGCATAATTTTGACAATAACAGATTCAAGGAGCTGCAACAAAAGTGCAAAACACCCCTAGATGCAACTGCTTCGATTAAAAACCAGGAAGGTCTGAAACTGGAGTTGGAGGATGCTCTACGTCGGGACTGAGTACCGACATGATTCCTTTTCGACCACCCTTCTCTTTTAGGGCCTTTTATATTTTTTCTTCTCATTCTGTCTTGGTAACCATCTTAGTTCATGCTGTTTTTGGAGGCAAGCTAAAGGTAAAGCTATTTATTTTACGGCACATGGTTACCTTCTATTTGCCTTTAAGTTTTTGAAAGCCTGCAATTGCAGCTTCTCCTTACAAAAGAAAGACATTACTGTTTGTAATCTATTTTGGCATCCTTCATTTCTATTTTTATTGGATTGATAGAGGAGCATAAGAATGACATTGTAATCAAATGTATCTCGAGTTATTTAACTATAGTTGAAAGTATATGGTTTATATGACATCTTTTAAGGTGTATAAACGTTTAGATTTGGTTTCTAACATCCAGAATGAGCATTATTGTAGTTTCTAGTTCAGCAGCTTGTGAACTAGAAGGATGTCGGAAGATGGTAACTTTTTATGTTTTTTGAAATGCACGAATCAACATATGTCTGCGTGCGTACTTTTTGTGAATGTGTGTTGATGATATTCATCAGTATACTATTAAAAGTTCACATGCTTTTGTATGTCCCTAAAAGTTCATGCACATATACTGATTTTAATTTTACGGGTGAAAAATAACTTACTATAAATCTTATGAAAATCATAAATTTAACAAAAGATTACATGATTCGATTCGATTTTTGCTGTTCAGTTGAAGATAATTAGTAATAATGGTTCATAAGCTTCCATGCTTTTTAGATAATATGAGTGCATAAGGTGTGCCGGTGTCATCTATGCAATTTGAAAAGCAAGACATGATAAGTGAGGCGAGCATGTTGTGCTCACGATGGAGAAAACGTAGATGTCAAGTTCCCAACATGTAGGAGAATGTTACAGTGGGTTTTAGATATTTATTACAGTCCAAGAATAATATATATATTTAAAAAAAAAAAAAAAACAAATTAATGATTAAAATATTAATATTTATATATTTGAGGTCATGGAATGTTTTCCTAATTTATAGTATCTCTTTAGTTGTGGATAATATTAATTTAATTTTATTAAATAAATAACAACCAATTTTAATTAATATATATATAGTTTCCTATAATTGACTTGAAAAATTGAGTTTTGAATTCACACTTATTTGTCAACTTGGATTTAGACATGTAAAAGTGGAGAATTTCTTTTTGTTGTCTTTTTGCAAAACTATTAATGAATCCAAAATCAGTTGAGAGATTTGCATGGGTGTGTCTACTCAGAGTTAAGAGGCGAGCAGACTTAAACTATTAAAACTTCATGATTCAATTTTTAATTTTTTAAAATAAATTCATACATTATTTAATCGTATAATTTACACATATTAATCATAATATAATATTCAATCCAACTCACTGCATCTTATAAATAAATAAATAAATAATTTGCTCGTCATCGTCCAAAATAAAACTCTGTATTCCTCCCTCGGTCTTTTCCTCCCCTGTGGATTTGCCTATCTTTTCTCGCCTCCCCATTTCAAAATAAATACATTATCGTTATTATTTAATAAAATGTTGGGTTAGTATCTTAATTTTCTTCGACTGGATAAGTTTCCGACTTCTCTCCCCCTAGGCTTATCCAAGCAGATCCGTAGATTGTGTGAAGAAGAAGTAGATGGTGATGATGGATACGGACATGGAGGAGCCGACTGATTTAATCACAACGGCGTATTAATCATTATCATAAACAGTCGTTTCGAGAAACCCTTTACACGACTTGGCCATTTAATCCATTATCTACTATATCATCTGACAATACCGACCGGTAAATATTAGTGTATCACTCTGTTGAAAAAGCCATACAATACGAAGAAGTAGAAAGAGAACGCGGAAAATGTGGAGGAGGCTGTGGTGCGGTGGTGTGTTCAAGCATAACATATGCGCGGCTGTTGGGAGAAGGCACCTCACTTCTTGCCCTCATTCATGGAGGTTGTTGGCTGGATCTTCACCTGCTCCTGCTCATCCTTCTCCGATGCCGCTTTGGAGGACTATTAAGTACTTTTCCGATCAATCCGAGTCCAATAATGGAGGAGGAGGAGGAGGAGGAGGAGGAGGAGAACTGGATAACATAACGTTTAACGAGGCTAAGAAACTGATGAGACTGGTGAATGTGGAAGCACTCAAGGTTAAGCTTACCGCGGAGGGGAAGGAAGTCATTGCCTACCCTGACCTCTTGCAGGCCTGCGAGAGCATGGGCATGGCTAGATCTCTCGAGGAGGCTATTTCTTTTGCTCGCGTCCTCGATGAAGCAGGAGTCGTCCTTCTCTTCCGCGACAAGGTCTACCTTCATCCCGACAAGGTAACTCCTTTCGTTTTGCTTCTAAATCTATTTTAACCCCTCTTTTTTTTTTTTTTTTTTCCTCCTTTTCCTCCTTGTTAAATTAGTCCATATGATTTGGTACATATTCACATTCTTCCAAGTGGGATTTCTAGTTTTCACCTTTTGAATTCATTTGATGCTCTTTAATACCAGGTATTAGCAGTTGCTATTATCTTACTTAAAATCACCATGTTCTCCTTCCTTTCTTCTGGATTCCATGCTCTTTACTATATTGGTTATCAGTAAGGTGATTTGCTCCCCAGAATCTTCAAACAGGACGCTCTCTGTGTAGTCATTTTGCTAAGAATAGATAGCCTTTCTAATTCAGTTGATAAAATTCATGGGTTAGGTCATCCTTCGGCCTTATATGATCATAAAGGTGAGAATAAAAACAGGATATGAAATCACCCCCAAAAGAAATTTACTTCTTTCTGGCTCCAACTTTAAACTTTTCTAACAATTAAGCATACACATGGTTTGAAGTTGAATTCTCTCCTCTGTTTTGATGGTTCTTTCAAATGCAACTCTTATTGCTCGACTAATTCTTGGGATGCAGCATGTGTAATTTGGAGCGGTAGTCGATAAGTTGGGTGCCTGTTCACATGTCCTTCCAGTTCTTTCCTTTAATTCTGTTTTAATTGTAATTTGTTGTAATTTGTCAGCACTCTGCTGCAAATCTAGTTTTTCAAAATTGAAAATCATATTTGATGTTCAAAGCTGTATCCATGATATGATGCAAGTTTCCGTTTATCTTCCATACAAGATTTCTCTGCCTATTTTGGGTTTGGCCATGATTCTTGTATGTCCTTGAAAGCATTTATTCAGAAACTATGCTGAGCACCCATATAGTATGTTAATACTTCAACTAGAAAGACAGGGTGTTGTCTTAAATTTATCTACGTTGTGGTTTGACACCCACTTTCTAACTTCTTGTTCCGTTCTCTGTCCAACAGGTCTATGTCGTTGGTACATATTTTAGAAGGCAAATGCAATTAAATCTTTTCCTCAAAGAAAAGTTTTATTTAGTTAGTTTGGTTAACCCTTATCATATTAAGTTTTATTGGGTATCTCATCCCCAAATATGTTCAGGTAGTGGATCTGGTTAGAAGAGCAGTACCCCTTGCCTTGACTGCTGATGATGACCCTGTGAGGGATGAGCTGAAGATGCTGCAGGAAAGGAAGGAAGAAATAGATGTGCTGGCACATAAGCAGGTTACTCGAATACTTTGGACCGGGCTGGGGGCGGCTGTGGTACAAGTCTTACTCTTTTTCCGGCTGACTTTCTGGGAATTCTCATGGGATGTGATGGAACCCGTTGCATTTTTCACCACAGCCACGGGCATAGTCATAGGCTATGCCTATTTCCTCTTCACTGCTAGAGATCCTACTTATCAAGACCTGATGAAGAGGCTTTTTCTCTCAAGGCAAAGAAAAATGTTTAAGAAGCATAATTTTGATGTTAACAGATTTAAGGAGTTGCAGCAAAAGTGCAAAACACCTCTTGATGCAACTACTTCCATTAAAAACCGGGTAGGTCTAGATCTGGAGCTAGACGACGCCTTACGTCAGGACTGACATGATTTCTCTTCGATTCTTGATTCTGTCTTAGCAACCATCCCAGCTCCTGCTGTTTTTGGAGGTGAGCTACAAGTAAAGCTTTTTATTTTCGGGGGCCACAAGGTTCCCTTCTCTTTTCTTTTGAGTTCTTGAAGCTTGCAACTGCAGCTTCTCCTTATACAAGAAAGACATTACTGTTTGTAATGGATTTGCATCCTTCATTTCTATTTTTGTTAGATAGATACAGCAGCATAACAATGATAATGTAATGAAATGTATTTCAAGTTAAGGTGTTGAAAGCATTTAGACTTGGATTCTAACCTCCAGAGTAACCATTGTATTTACCTGTTTAGCAGCTTGTAGAAAGATTCAACTTGTGGAATATGTTGGAAAATGATTCAACTTAAAGTATTAACAATTGATAATAACTTTTTATGTTAATATTATCTAAATTAATATATCATTAAAAAGTTACACGGTTTTTTTTATTTTTTATTTTTTATAATGTAAATTGAAAGTTCATATGCGCATATTGTTCGTTGTTCTTAGATTATTGCAATTCACGATTTGAATTTTACAATTTCATTTAGTTTTTATTTATTTATTTTTATATATATTAATTTCTTGGGATAAAAATCACATTTTATTTATTCAAGAATTGATATTTTAATTGTCTATAACCCTTTCCAAGTAAGGATCTAGAGTTTGATAAAATGATTAATAAAAACAATAAAACAAGGCAGGATAGTTAGTGTTAGGAGAAGAGAATATATAATGATATATTTATATGATACTTTATAATTAATTATTAGTACGAAACACACAGTGTAATTACTTCAAAACTTTTTATATTGTCTCATGTTTGATTATTAATATTTCATGAAAAGAATAATATTATTTGTGTTTTTTTATAAATATATTAAATTTGATATTTTCTTAAAAAGAATATTTTTTTATAATTTCTTTTTGTTATAAAATAAGTTATATAATTAATTTTTTTTTATAAAATATTTAACTATTCATATTAATAAATTACTTCCACAAAAATAATAGTATATGAAATTTGAATATTATTTGTAATCGTCACATTTGAACACCAATATCTTCAATTATTAAAAAACTTTTTGATAAAATATTACGTGTTACGAAATCATCTTCTCACAACAGCCACCTTAAGTTCAAATTTAAAGAATAGGCCTTTTCCATTTCAAAAAAAGAACATGAAATTTTTGAATAGTGCCCACCAGGAAGTATATACAGTGTATATAAACAGATACAGGCCATACAACTATGTGGCCCAGATGATTTGGGCTCAGTTCGGCCCAGCTTAAAAAAGAAGTGGGATGTAACAACACAACCTCTCGGGTCAAGAAAAAGGAAAACGGCCCGACACTGGCGATGTGAGTTGTAGATAACCCGCGAATCCATAGATAGATAAGGTTGGTGGTGTTCCGTGTGAAGAGCTGAGTTGCAGGTGCGGAAGAAGAAGGAAGAAAGGGAGAAGGTGAATGTCAGGTCCGGTGAGTTTGAGTATAACAGCGGTGGGCGGTGCGCGCATCACCACCAACAATGGTGTCAAAGTGTTAGCTGCAGTCCCCAGCAATGGGATCAGCAATCGGTTTTTACCCATGAATCTTACTCTGGCATCTTCTACTTCGATCTTCCCCTTGTCAACTTCCTCCGCCTCCTCCTGGAAGACTGCCGTGGCCGCCACCGACTCAGACCAGCTTTCTACCGACAAGGTACAAGGTTTTTCTTCTTCGCCATCGATTATATTATTAGATGCATGTTTATGTTTGACTAGGTTTTGATCACATTGTTTTAATATACAGCAAGAAGCGAGTAAGTACTACTTTGTGGTTGCGAATGCGAAATTCATGTTGGATGATGAAGAGCACTTCAAGGAGCTTTTGTTTGAGCGGCTGCGTAATTACGAGAACGTAATAAGAACGGGATTTCTGGCTTGTGATTGAGCCAAAGTTCTTGATAAATTCCCAAACATTG